GAAGTTTCTAACTTCATGTTTTGTGGCCATCATCCTCTTCGGACCGACACTGCAAATGTGGGACAGTCCAGGAACCAGGGCGCAAGCGGCGAAAATGCCCAAACCAGGTGAGCAAACACGCTCTATTACACTTTAAATCGATTTATCTCGGTTCCTGTAAGAGATATCAAAAAGAGGTCAACTGATAAATTGTAGCCAACATTATCCTTATCATTTTATCAGGAACTCAGTAAAAAGGGAATTTTTCAAAGTGATCTTAAGCTTGACAGTTGACCTCTAGACTCCTAAAAATTACGGTTTTGTTTATCATATTGACCTAAAACGTAATTTTAATACAAGAAAAATGTGTTCTTAGCAGTCCCCCCCCCCCCTTAAAAACTGAATTTCTTCCAGGTCTGCACGACATCTTGCTGAAAACCGTGAGCGACACGGCGTCCTACCTGGGATTCGGAGTCAAATGCCTCAATGGTGGCCACAAGACCGAAGAAAACACTTGCATCTGCCCCAAACACTTTAAGGGAAAAGAATGCGAGACGAAAATCTGCATAAATCATGGAAAACTCGAAAAAGTAAGCATCCCGACGGTCCATCACGTCTGCAAGTGTCCCCATCCGGAATTCATCACCGGCGAGCACTGTGAGAAGATTCGCTGTGCCAACTACGGCGAGTTTCAAGCGTTTCCGACGAATGCCACGTGGCGATGCGATTGTAAGGGATCGAGGTTCTATCAGGGAGAGTTCTGCGAGAAGTTTGTGCTCTCGTCGGGATGGGTGGCGGCTCTCGCGTGTTTTGCCGTTTTTGTCATCGTTGCATTTATTTGCTCGTCGAATTGGTTTAGTAGGAATCGCACGAGAAGAAGGTGAGAATTTTCGAATTTCCCGATTTTGAGAATATCGGAATTTAGGAATATTTTGATTTTCAAATTTCTCGGATTTCGGAATTTCGGACTATTGCGATTTTTGAAATTTCGAAATTTTTGGATTTTGAAAAATTCAGAACTTCGAAATATTCTGATTTTCAAAATTTCGGAGTTTTGGAATCATCCGATTTTGACAAAATCTGGATATTCGGAAGTTTTGAAATTTCGCAATTTTGGAATTTTTGAATTTTCGAAATTTTGGAATATTCCGCATTTTAAAAACTCGAAATTTCAGAATTTCGAAATCATCCGATTTTGACAAATTCCGCATTTTTCCAAAGTTAGGAAATTCCGATTTTCAGAGTTTTCTAAAATTTGGAATTTTGGAATTTCGGGATTTTCCTATTTTGAAAATTCAGGAGTTTCGGAATCTTGGTATTTTGAGAAATTCAGAATTTCGGGAATACTCCGATTTTCAAAAATTGTGAAAATTTGGAATTTTGGAATATCCCGATTTTCAAAATTTCGGTTTTTAGCAAATTCGAAATTCTGGAAATTTCGGGTTTTCAAAAATTTTGAAATCGGTATTTTGGAGTTTTCGACATTCCGAAATTTTTATTACTGTAGATTACTGTAGAACCGAAAATTTCGAAATTGGAATATCTTTTTTGATTTGAATTTTAGTCCGATTTTTCGCAAAAATTTTAGATTTGTTAATGTTTTTCAGCTATTTTTGAATATTCTTTTCCCAGTTTTATCGTCTGAAATGCGATGGGACGGTGTTCTGGGTTACTGTGAGTTACTGTAGTAGTGTTGTTTTAGAAACACAATCAATTTATCTGCTTTTCGACGTGATTGTGTTTGTCAAAAAAAAATCTACAGAAAGAAATTCGTTTTCTACAGTAACCTACAGTAATCTTCAGGAACACCGTTCCATCAAATTTCAGACATAACAAAACCCGGAAAAATCGGGAAAAGAATCTATGAAAATAGCTGAAAAATCGAAAATGGTCTAAAAATTTTTTGCAAAAAATCCAAGAAAAAAAAACTCAAATTTTTTCTCCCGAGAATTTCGTAAAAATGCCCTTTTTCAGCTCCCGCCACTCCCACAGTCAATCCCAACGAACTACCCGGTCTCGCGATGCTCTTCGACGTGTCATTGAGCCATCAATGGACAATCCACGTGGCGCCGCTCATCGATCGGCGTCTTCTGATGAGCTGATCTCCAGCGAACGAGGTGCCCATCGGCGGACTCAAGCGTTCCCGCCGGGAGGCATCACTCAGCAGTACGTGGTTCGACTCGACACGATTCCCACGTTCAATCCTTCGATGATAGGTAGGTAGGAGGAATGCAAATGCGCTCTAGTGAAAGAATTCTAAAAATCCTAAAAATCTGAAAAATCCAAAATTTGAAAAAAATCCGAAAAAAATTTTTCTCATAATCTCGAAAATTCCAAAATAGCCTAAAAATCTTAATCATCCTCAAGTCCCAATTCTGAAATTCCTGAGAATCCCAAAAAATCTAAAAGTCCAAAGTTTTTTGAAATCCGAAAATTCAAAAAATCCTCAAAGCCTAAAAATCCTAAATCTGAAAAATGCATAAATTCTGAAAATTCTAAAAATCCTGATGATCTAAAAATTCTAAAAATTCTTAAAACCCAAAAAATTCATAAAATCTGAAAATTCGGGAAAGCCTGAAAATCTGAAAATTGGAAAATTCGAAACTTTTTAAAATGCTGTAAACCCAAGAAGGCTAAAAATCTGAAAATTCAAAAATCCTAAAAATCATTAAATTCTAAAAATCATAAAAATCAGGAAATTCTAAAAAACCTGTAAATCTAAAAATTTTAAAAATTCTGAAAATCCTAAAATTCTAAATATTCTGAAATTCTAAAAATCCTGAAATCCTAAAGAACCAAAAATTCCGAAATACTGGAAATTCGAAAATCCGATAAATCTTGAAAATCCTAAAATTCTGAAATCCAAAAAATTCAAGGAAAAAAAAATAGTTCCTAAAAATACAAAATATTCGAACATTCTGAAAATTCTGAAATTCTGAAAATCCAAAGATTCTAAAATTCCACAAGTTTAAAAATCCGATAAATCTTGAAAACCCTAAAATTCTGAAAATTCTTGAAATCCAAAAATTATACCAGTTATAAAAATACTATAATTCTATATATCCCGTAAATCCTGAAGTTCAAAAAATCCATTTTTAATATTCCAGGTGGTGTCGAGCCGATGAACCCTTCCGATGCTCGAGCTGCGATTCCAGTGGGCCCACCGCCATCCTACGATCAGGCAATGTCATCGATCCGTTCCGAACCACCCAGCTACACGCCGACGGCGGCCAAAAACCAAACGGATTCATGACACTAAAATTTTTTAGAAAAAATTTTTTTTCAATTTTTTTTTGTAGATATTTCTGATTTTTTTTCACCGTCCCGCGTTATCTGTATCATGCTCTACTTAGCGTAATTTTGTCTACTTTTTTCTCTCCGAATCTTCCAAAAACTTTTCAAATGTCCCTCCGGGTTGCCCCACCGCTTCAGACTTTCATCAAAAATTCAGGATTCTCTCGCAACGAACGATGATCAAATAATACCCCTTCAGTTTCCCACTTTTCATGTCATATCCATGCCCATAATTCCAGGATTTTTGATAATTTGCGATCATCATTCTCAGGTGTCGATTATCGATTTTTTCGGATCGATTTCCATATGTGCATTCCTCTTCTCTTTGATGAGACTAATAATAAAATTTGGTATTTTGAAGAATTTTCAGATTTTCAAAAAAATCTCTGAAATTCTGAAAATTAGAAGAAACAGAGTTTTGCTGCTTAAAAATTCAAAAAACTCCAATTTTGTGGAAATATTGAATCATTTTTCACAGAAAATCATACGGTGCCTACAGTACTTGCCGAATTTTTGTTACAATTTTTTTTGGTTTCAACTTTAAAGGTCTACAAAAATATAGTGAATTTTGTTGGATTTTTCTGAAAATTTCACAAAATACTGAACAAAAATAGAGCTTCATTTTTGTAGCAGACAACTTTTTCCTATAAACTCATCCAGATGAGATATGCCACGGCCATTCTGTGGTCCGCCTCTTCCACGTGGCATATCTTATCAGGACCTGATTTTACAGAAAAGTTGTCAACTAACAAAAATGAAGCTCTATTTTTGTTTAGTATACTGTAAAAGTTTCATGAACTTTGAAAAATGGTAAAGTAGTTTTGTAGGCGTTCAAAGTGAAAAAACCTAAAATTTCCATTTTTCAGATGTAACGTATATTTTTCAATAAATACCAAAAGAAAATGGATAGAATCCGAGTCTTCCTACTTGTTTTTTTTAACTAAATTTTTTTAAATTCCGAAAATTTGAGTTCTCAAGTTCTGAAGTTGTGGCATCAGACCTGGCTACCGTATCCCACCCAAACTGTCAACTTTGAGCTCTATTATCTCGATTCCTGTGAGAGATATCAAAATGTTGTCAACTGATAAAATATTGGTGATATTATGACAAACATTTTATCAGTTGACAGATTCTTGATATCTATCGCAGGAATTGAGATAATTGAGCTTAAAGTTGACAGGCTTCTATTAAATTAAATACGGTATGTCAATTTTGGTCAGACAGATTTTCCCCTGGGAAATTGGCGTCTTAAGGTCCAACCCCCCTGGTCCCAACCCACCGATACATCACTCAAAATGAAGAGACAGCTGACAACTCGCTCTCTTTCTCTAGCACCCTCTCCTGATCATATGGTCCCTCATCTTCACCTCTATCCAACTGTTCTCCTCTTTTCCCTACTTTCATTCATACCCTTTTTCCCTGACGCAGTGTGTATGTGTCTGAATTTCTTTGATTTTTTCTAGAATTCACTATTATTCCTTCTAAAAGGCACCTAAAAATGAATGAAGCCTTCTATTGATTTTTCTGTTTCTCCAAGACAAGGAAACTGACGAAGTATCCAAAAGAAGACCGGACAAAAGGATGCGTCTTCTGCGGAGACGGTCATTTCGCTGACAGATGCCCAGTAATCTGGTCTCTCATTATCAGAGAGGCTCCCTCAAGGGAGAGATCAGAAGAGCCAAACAACGAAGAAGCTTCAGATCAAGGAGACGCCTCTTATACTCAATTCCTCGATCGACGATCGGAGAGACGATGACGAACGACGTTCCAGAGTAAATGCATCCCCCGACGACCAATCTTCAAGACGATCCACCTCGACAAGACGCTCACGCTCACCATCAACGCAACGATCAGCTACGCCACAGAAGTCCAGCTCGACAAGACGATCTTCTTCATCGGAACATTCTTCGGAAAATTCGTCACCGGAAAGAAGTAGACCAACGGCACCACCCTCACCGAAGAGACCACGCTCGAGACAATCAACACCGGGCTCTCCAGAGCCAAAGAGAAGGAAATCTCCAGACGAATATTTCACCAGACGAGACGATGGACCAAGCACCAGCCGGGGCTACGACGAGCCCAGACGCCGTCGTGACAATTCCAGGGACCACTCAAGACGTCGAGACGAGAGCCACGATGAGAGACGACACAAGACGAGCAGGAACAGACGCAATTAAGGAGACGATCACTGCGCAGGCCGGAGTATACTCAATTCTATAAATTTCGTATTCTTTTTATATTATTTATGTATTATCCTCTCCTCCATTTCTCTATTTCCTTTATCATTGCTCATTCCTAACACCCTCGCTCTCACTGTACTTTACACCCTCGAACGATCTCTCACTCCATCCAACGCTCTCTCACCATGACGCATTCGTCCCAAGACTTTTGACTCCGCCCCCAACGATCTGACGACCAGCTTCCATCATTCCATCTTTCATTGTTACATTCGTCCCAACAGGAGACGGTCGCCCAAGACCGTCCTCCACCTTTTTCCCCCCTTTTTGTTTCTTTCTTTCTTTACTTTGTTACTTGTTATAATTTGTATACTTTGTTAACTCTTTCTTATATAAATGGTTTAATTACCCAAGTTTGAGATACCACACGTGTCATCTACACGAGTAAAGCATTCTACCACACACTAGCTGGAGTTGCCATAGGACAAGGACAGCTACACACCCGACCACCATTTGCATTTTAGTTTACCTCTGGCAAAGAAGATTCCAACAACGGAGAAGACTCTGACAACGGAGAAGGATCGGACAACTCAAAGGATTCGGATCCAGAAGAAGAATCAGGAGACGAGGAATCCGAACAAGCTCCAGATTACAAAGAGGACAACGAATCTATTCAGCCGATCGAAATCGAGGTTGAAGTTCTCTTTGGAGAAGACGACGGATCAAATGCTCAAGAAGAAGAAGAAGACATTGCCATCGTCATTCCACCCCCAGAAGCTGAAAGATGCTCCAAGATGAGAATGCTGGCCAAATACCCAAAAGAAGACATGACAAAGGGATGCGTCTTCTGCGGAGACGGTCATTTCGCCGACAGATGCCCAGTATTCCCGACGGCGGAGGCACGGAGACAGTTCCTGAACAATCAGGATTATTGTAAGAGGTGCCTCCACCGTAGGGGGACTGGGATCCATTCGTGCAATGACAAAAGGAAATGCTACTACTGCCATTCTAGTTCACACAATTCGGCCGTATGCAGTATTCCAAAGTCCTTGACAGACCATCGTCAACTCAGATCCAGCGGATACTCCCGTGGAGGAAGGCAACCATCTCCAGATGTTAAGATACTAGAATATCCCGATCCTGGAGAACAGTACGAGCACCTCCAGCGGAAACGGGACAACAGGGACAACATGGACATCCGACGTGGATACAACCAAGATCGTCGTACAAAGGAGGACAAGGATCAACGTCGCCGCGACCAACGAGATCGTCACCCAACAGAGGACAAAGATCGGCGTCACCAAGATCATCGAGATCGTCGCACCAATGAGGACAAGGATCAAAGCTATCAATCCGGAGAACCTTCAGCTAAAAGAAGGGGACAATAAATAATTCCCTCTCTCTATATTATTATTCTTCTTCTTCCCTCTACCTCGTCTATACTAAATCCTGTAAATTTCGTATTCTTTTTATATTATTTATGTATTATCCTCTCCTCCATTTCTCTATTTCCTTTATCATTGCTCATTCCTAACACCCTCGCTCTCACTGTACTTTACACCCTCGAACGATCTCTCACTCCATCCAACGCTCTCTCACCATGACGCATTCGTCCCAAGACTTTTGACTCCGCCCCCAACGATCAAAAGATTCTCCAGGACACCCTGGTGATCGAACTCAATTCAAATTATCGATTATCGATATTCATTTGTATTGTTTCCCATTTTCTTGTCACCTAAAGTCCTAAAATAAAAGACTACCATCTTAAGAACCTCGTGTTATATTACTCTTGTCCGAAATCAATGCACGTTGCGGCCGAGAAAACAACGGTGGGTGGAGCTTAGCTCCCACAGAGAGAACCTTACTGTATTTTTCAAATTATTGCACGCGCCTTTAATACAGTACCTCAGCATTCATCGAATTTTCTCAAATTTCTCTCATTTTTTCGCTTGTTTCTGTCTAATTTTGTGTAATTCTTATGAATCTTTAATTTATTATTTTTATAAAACAGAAAAAAAACAGCTAAATAGGGCCAAAAATAAAAAACGTCCGAGGTACGGTATTTAAAGGCGCATGCATCGATTTGTTTTTTCGCTGTGCGACCGACGATGCGATTTTGAGTAAATTTTCGGCCACAACGTTCAATGATTTCGGACGAGATCAATACCTTAAAGCACTTTCAGGAGTTTTCCTTTCAAGAAGCAGGCGAAAATTCTATATTTTGGTTCAGAAATCACACTTCCAGCTCACCTTGAAGCCGAGATAAACCGTTTAGAAGAGACACAGACAGTCAGAGTGTCTCGTCGTCTGTGTCTCTCGCCTCCTTAACCTGTATCACGGCTCCTAGAAAAGCTATAAACATTGAACTAAATTGTTTGTCGGGAAGCTAGGGATCCGGAAATACGCAAAACACTATTTTTTGGAACAATTTGAAGTAGAAAAATGAAATTTTGTCTGACAAACTGAACTTGAATAATTGGCGCTCAGCTAGTTTTTTCCAGGTACTCGTGCTGACATTCTCCTAAAAAAATGCCTGCATCATTGCCTTCGCTTTCAAGCGATATAAATGTCCTTTGTCACTAAAAATAAGCAATTGTTTTGAATAAATTTTTCTTTTTTCCTGATTCCGCCTTTTGTTTTGAACTTTCTTTTCCAAAAGGGACGAATCGGCTGGAAAGTTACTTTTTCTTTATATACATTTTGCAAATTTTTAGGAATTTTTCAGAAGAGCGCGATTATAACTCTTTGAAATTTAAATTCTTTGCGGTTTTCCTCTCTTTTTCAAACTCCCCCCGCTTTTCTGCGACTAGAGAGTGTGTGGGACGAGGAGACGCAGCACACCGGCCGGAATAGCGGAGTGTCGTTTGTGGGCGAAAAAATAAACAATTTTTAGCAAACATTTTGCCAACTCACAGATTTTGGCACAATCTGAAATTATCGCTATACTTTCTGGGTGATATGGATCGAGATTCACTGGATTTGAATGTGCTATCGAAGAGCTTCGTCAAGAATTGTGTACTTATCTCTCGTAAGGAATTTTTCTTATTTTTTCTAATTAATTTTATTAAAATAAGAAAACCCAATTTTACAAATTCAGATGCGGGTGTGGACCAATCGTTTTCAGTGTATCAGCATGCGCTGATCTCCTATTTTTCCCGAAATTCGCTGGTTTGGAAAATGTGAGTATTCTTTAGTCTTTAAAATTTTCTAAGCCAATTTTAAGCATTTGAAACTTCATCTAGACCAATTTCAGCTGAATTTTCATGATATCCAGCTCATTTTTATCCCAAAAATCTCTTGAAAACCCAAAAATTGCAGAAACAATAAACTATTCCCGCATCGACTAGTTTTCCCGCTGAAATTCGTCCCCTACGAAGACAAATTGTGCTTTGGACCGCAAATTTCGCCGACGGAAATCACGAAAATCGCATTTTTGCACATTTTCAATATCAATGTCACTTCGGCCGATGATTATCGACAAAATGTGCGGCATAATGTGTCGGATTGGTTTGCAAAAGTGAGTTTTTGCTAAAATTCCTTTAAAATTGTCTGAAAATGAGCTGAAATTAGTTGAAAAAATGCTGAACATCAATCTAAAACTCCTGAAAATTTTCCAGCTCCGTGTGGTCAACATTCGGCGTTTTCATAGTGATTTCATACTAAAAATTCTCTGAAAATCAGCAAAAAAGCCCAAGAATCAATCTACACGATTACATCGCTCTTTTTTCCGTTTTTAGAGGTAGTTTCAGACTAAAAAAGTGAATTTTCAAAGCTAAATTGGTCCCAAGTGTGACCTGGTTCGACCCTAAAACGACCAAAGATTGGACCACATTCGGGCCGTTTTTGAACAGTTTTAGACCTATTTCCGGCAATTTCAGACTAAAATGATCCGAAATTTATAAAAATCAAGTCATGTTGGTCCACGGATTGTTTTTGAGCTATTTTAATAAAAATGCGATTTTTTGTTCAATTTGACCGTCAAAATCTACAGAGTTTTAGCCAGTTTTTAATAAATTTTCTTGGCTATTGACCAAAATTTTTTTTTGGACCATTTTTAACGAATTTCCGACCATTTTCGACCGACTTGGCTGGTTTTTCGACCATTTAGGAGCAATTTTCTTGCCTTTTTTCGAATAATTCAAGCCTAAAATGGTCTAAAAACGATCTGAATCAATCATTTTTGACCAATTTTCAACCGATTTTTGCAGCTAAACTCGAAATCGGACGTTCAATGGATCATCGTGATCAACACGAATCGAGCGAAAGATCGGAAGACGAAACAATCGATAATGGAGAAGATCAAAACGGATTTTGCGAAATTCACGAATCGCCTCTTCGAACTACCGGATACCAGCGATCAGACGGCGTTTCAATCATTCGTTCAGGGCATTCAATCGTTCTTGTTTCAACATTTAACACTGGTTATGGACATTTGGGATAAGGCATTGAAGTCGCAGTATGAGAAGAAGAAACAGCACTCGTGGGATGTTTTTAGCTATTTTCAGAGTATGGTGAGTGAAAAATTCAAAAAGTTGAATAGCAAAATCCCAAATAATCCAAATATCCGATGAAAAAAATCCTAAAATTTCTGGAAATCGAAAAATTCCAAAAACCCAAAAATTCTAAAAGTTCAAAATTCCCCAAAAAGCCTCAAAATCGAGAAATCCTGGAAACCCGAAAAATCCTAGAAATTTTAAAGAAAATCATAAGGTTTCTAGAACTTTCAGGTTTTCGGATTTTTTGAAAAAAAATTTCAAATTTTGGAAATTTCTCAATTTTTCCACTCGCTAAAAATCACTTTTTTTCAGCGATTTTTTTTCCAATTTCAACAGAAAATGTGCTATAAACTTTTCGAAAATTTCCATACAATTTTCAGCCCCATTTCTTCGGCTCCGGGACATTTCGAAAGTGTGGTAATACGGGCGAATGAACGAATTTCAGACTACAAAAACCTGTTTTAGGGTTTTCAAATGTGCTTTTTCTGATAGAACACATTCTGAAATTCGAAAAAATCCAAAATTTAATTTTTTCAAAACAATTTTTATGGGAGCTGAAAATAGTCTGGAAATTTCCGAAAAGTTTATAGCACATTTTCTGTTGAAATTGAAAAAAAAATCGCTGAAAAAAAGTGATTTTTAGCGAGTGGAAAAATTGAGAAATTTCCAAAATTTGAAATTTTTTTTTCAAAAAATCCAATTTTCAAAAAATCCTGAAAACCGGAAAGTTCTAGGAACCTTAAGATTTTCTTAAAAATTTCTAGGATTTTTTTGGATTTTCAGGATTTTTCGGGTTTCCAGGATTTCTTGATTTTGAGGGTTTTTGGGGAATTTTGGATTTTTGGAATTTTTGGAATTTTTCGATTTCCAGAAATTTTAGGATTTTTTTCATCGGATATTTGGATTATTTAGGATTTTGCTATTCAATTTTTTGAATTTTTTGAAATGTTTAGTTTTTTTGGATTTACAGAATTTTAGGATTTTGATGATTTTTTGGAATTTACAATTTTTAGGATTTCAAAATGTTTAGAACTTAGGATTTTCAAAATTTTTTGAATTTTTAGATTTTTAGATTTTCCGGGAATTTCTAGAACGAAATTTTGGAAAACTAAAAATCTTCAAAATCCGGAAAATTCAAAATTTGAAAAAATCCAAATTTTTGAGTTTTGATTCAAAATCCAAGAAATTGGCTCAAAAATATTTGTTGTGAAAATCAGTTTTTTCAGACAACTTTTCAGAAAATTGCTCGAAAAATGTCAAAAATTCACTGAAAAATAAACTAAAAATGATGGATTTTCAGCGAAAAAACTGGCTTTAAAAATCTGAGAAAAATAGACAAATTTCATAAAAATTGGCTCAAAAATAGCATATTTTTTCTAGATAAATGTTCAAATTTATAAAAATAAAATTCCCGAATTTTTCAGACAGAATACGGTCGCCTCTTCTGGAGTTTCGGCGCCGTCGAATACTCCATGTCGATATTCGACGATATGGAAAAACTGCTCCACGACTTCGTCGTCCGCTCCGGCGATTCAGAATCTCCGAGATGGTTGGCACAGCTTCTAAACACTAAAATCGACGATCGCCCCTCTTTAATCTCGAATTTCCAAGTTCAACGAATCGAAAAACGGGCGGCACACTATCTAGGAATGAGAAACTATCTATTCAGTCAGCAGATCATCATGTCCATCCATTTGTATCAACAAAAAATGAAATCGAATATGCGGCGCCGAGTTTACGATCGGATTGTGCTGTTGGGATAATGCAGAGAGCGTTGATTACGATTGAAGCAGTCAAAGAGTTCAATAATTTGATGAATGCGAGTTTTTAGCTCAAAATCACTGAAAAATGGCAAAAACGCCGTGAATTTTGTGTCTGAAATGATTTTCAAAAAATGCTACAAAATATCTACAGATATGCCTGAAAATAGTCGAAAAATCCTATAAAATTAACTGAAAACGACCAAAAATGGCCGAAATTCGATCTGAATTGTTTCAAAATTGGCCTGAATGGGCTCAAATTCGCCCGTCTAGTAATAATCCAGTTTAGCTCGAATCGGTCGAAATAAGGTGCAGAAATATCAAAATTCGTCAAAATTCGAAAATGATCAAAATTCGTTCAAAAATTACTGAAAGCGACCAGAAATTGGCCTAGAACGGTCCAAAATTTTGGAAAAATGGCCAAAATTTAATCCAGAATGACCTGGAACGGCTTAAAGGTGGGGGGACAGGAGATTTTTCGTAGTTTTTTTGTAGCTAGAGTATGCATTCTACCGTGACGGTGTACAACGCTTAATGTCACTCTGCGTACAGCTGTCGTCCTCGCCTTTATGTATGCAATCGGGCGTGCGCTTTCTCTTTGCCCGCGTGGCTCAGTCGTTAGCGGCGCCGCACCCTCAATCATCGCCCCCACAAGTTCAACTCCTCGAGAGGCATCTTTGAACGGAATTTCGAGAACATTATTTTTTTTCATTTCAAAAATTTTTTGTTCAATTTTTTGTTCAACATTATTTTTTTTCAATTCAAAACCTCGAAAATCTGAAAATTCTAAAATTTCAAAAATCTGAAAATCATAAATTCTAAAAATCTTGAAAATTCAAAAAATTCAAAAGTTTGAAAAATCTGAAATTTCGAAAAATTCAAAATTCCGGAGTTCCGAGAATTCGAAAAATTCGAAAAGTTCAAAAACTAGAAAATTCGGAAAACTCGAAAATCTGAAAAATCTGAAATTCAAAAATCCGAAATTCCGAGAATTCGAAAAATTCAAAAATTCAAAATTCTAAAAATTCAAAAAATTCAAAAACTTGGAAATCTGAAAATTCAAATATTTTAAAATTCGGAAAATTCAAAAATCCAAAAATCTGAAAATTCAAATATTTTAAAATTCTGAAAATTCGGAAAATTCAAAAATCCAAAAATCTGAAAATTCAAATATTTTAAAATTCTGAAAATTCGAAAAATTCAAAAATCCAAAAATCTGAAAATTCGGAAAATTCAAAATCCAAAAATCTGAAAATTTGGAAAATTCAAATATTTTAAAATTCTGAAAATTCGAAAAATCCGAAATTCCGAGAATTCGAAAACTCGAAAATCTGAAAATTCTAAAATTCTAAAAATCCTAGACCTCTTTTATTTCAGATTAAATTTAGAGCACTTTTGACAAGTTTTGGACCATTTCAGGCTATTTTTTTGGTCGGTTCTAGCTATATTCTGTTCATTTTGTTCCCCTTTTTCAATGATTTTTGTCCTATTCAAGCCGAATTTCCGCTCATTTTCAGTCTGAAACTTTCAGAACAAGCGAGACATTCCAAAAACGTGCTGTTGGACATGGTGGACCGTCTCGGAATCCCTCCAAATCTGTCAACTCCTCTGTGATGTGTCTCATCTGAATGTGGCTCCTGTCATCCTTGCACGCCTTCATTTGGCTCGTTTTGATGCTCTTTTGAGTTTGGCGAAGCTGCTGAAATTGAATCCAGAAGACAAATCGGGATTGACAGAGTGGCTTCAGGTAAGAAAAAATCGATTTTTTGCTGGAAAACATGGCTGAAAATCATATAAACTGTAGTGAAAAAAGTTGCTAAATTATATTTGGATTTTCGACTGGAAAAAATGTCTGAAATCGACCAATTTTGGGTCATTTTAAGCCGAATTATTTTTCCAGATCAAACCCCTAACTCTGGAATCTCGAATTCTGAATTCCGCGGTCGGCTCAATGGACCAAATGTGTGTGGAAATGGAAAAAGTACACGATATCTGTATAAATGCACTGGCTCATGCGGATAGACAACGATTTGTGCTGAATGTCACTCACCAGTTTTTTGGATTTTTGAGGTTTGAAATTCATGAAAAATGGTTCAAAATTCATGAAAAATGAACCAAAATTGATGGGAAGTGGTCCATAATTTATGAAAAATAGACTAAATTTCATGAAAAATAGCTCAAAATCCATGAAAAATGGTTTAAATTTCATGGAAAATGGTCCGAATTTTATGAAAAATGGCCCGAAATTCATGAAAAATGGTCTTAAATTTATGAAAAATGGTTTAAATTTCATGAAAAATAGTTTGAAATTTGTTTAAAATGACTCAAAATTCATAATAAATGGCTCAAAATTCTTGAAAAATACTTCAAAATTCATGAAAAATTGCTCAAAATTCATTACAAATGATCCAAAATTCATGAAAAATATTTCGAAATTCGTTAAAAATGACTAAAAATTCCTGAAAAGTGGCTTGAATTTCAAAAATGAAATCCTTCAAAAATGGTACAAAATTTATAAAAAATTGCGTTTTTTTTCTGAAATTTTGAGAATTCCAATTTTTTAAATTAGCTCCAGAATCCTTTCTTCCAGATCCATCAACTCAAAATGTCCCATTTCGAAACTGTCCATTTCGAAACCGATCCTCCAAACGATGCCGATCCAACCATCAACTGCTCAAATGCTCAAATCTCTGTGCTCGGAAATTCTAGAAGAATCTAAGAATTCAGATGACATTCTGAATTTGTTGTTTTTCATTTCTCAGTGTGAAATGGACGAAAAAATCAATGAGAAATTGATGGAGAAATTGAGGAAGAAGGCGGAGGACGATGGACGACCAGTGGAGTGAGGAATGGGGGGAATTTGGAGGGAAAAATTGGGAGAATAGGCTGGAAATTGATATAAATCGAATCGAAAATGGTTCAAATTTATCATTAAAAAGTCCCAAATTTGCTCGAAAATTATAGATTTGAAATGATTCGATTTCGTTCTAAATTAATTGTTATGAGGTTCAAAAATAGTCTTAAGTGGGTCAAAATTGGTTTTAAAGGTGGGGGGACATGAAAAAAATAATGTTCCGTTCAAAGATGCCCCTCGAGGAGTTGAACTTGTGAAGGCGAGGTTTGAGGGTGCGGCGCCGTTACCGACTGAGCCACGCGGCAAAGAGAAAGCTGACGCCCGATTGCATACATAAAGGCGAGGACGACAGCTGTACGCAGAGTGACATTAAGCGTTGTACACCGTCGCGGTAGAATGCATACTCTAGCTACAAAAAAAAACTACGAAAAATCTCCTGTCCCCCCACTTTAAATTGTCTAAAAATGATAGGAAATTGCCTTTAAATTTATCAAAAATAGTCCAGATTTTTCCATAAAAATTATCCTTAAAAATAGCCTGAAAGTGCTTAAAAATAGCTATAAATGGGTCAAATTTGGTATGGAATAGTCCGAAATTCACAGAGAATAACTAAAATCAAGCTAAAATTTGCTGAAAATGCATTGAAAAATGCTCCAAAATTCATGAAAAATGGTCCAAAATTCATGAAAAATGATTCTAAATTCATGAAAAATGGCTCAAAATTCGTGAAAAATGGTTCAAAATTTGTAAAAAACTGTCCAAAATTCATGAAATAAGTTCGAAATTTTATGAAAAATGGTCCAAAATTCACAGAAGATGACCTAAATTATCACAATATGGTCCATTCAAATAGCCCAATTTTGAAGAGAAAATCGGACAAAACATAGTCCAAAAATCGTTTAAAACAGCAAGAAATGTCCCAAAATCACTAAAATTGATACAAAATTTTCATTAAAAACGCCCAGCACTTTTAGGCTTGAATTGACCAATTTTGAGCGAATTCGGTATAAGTAGAGGCTTCAATTAGTCTGAAATTCGTTGAAAATGTTGAAAAATCGATCTAAAATCGCCCGAAAAATCTTGAAAATCCCCGATTTTCAGCCTCTCCACAATCGCTATAACCGACGACTCGAATCACATGTTTTCGATAATAATCGAAAGTTTCGAAGCCGTCCAAACGACGGATTCCATCCTAGAGATTCGATCGATAATCGATTCGAAAATTGGATTCTCCCTTGATAATGCAAAAATCGAACTGCATTTTTCAGGAGATTCTGGTAGTTCGATTGCTCAGCAATCGAATTTATCGGTGTTGTCGTTGCAGCATGAAGTAGGTTTTTGAAAATAATTTAAAGCTCAAAATTCGAAATTTCCAGAAAAAAGAGAACATTTGCCGACTGGTTTCCGAGCTGAAACTCTCCAAAACGTCCCAAACAGCTGAAAATTCCACTAAAAATCTTCAAATTTCCACAATTTCTCCGATTTTAAAACCGGGAAAAAATGAGATTCTCTTCCGAACAGATATCACAAAAATTGGATGTTTTATTCTGGAAAAAGTGCGAATTTCAAGGGATTTTCTGGAATTTTCCACGTCGAATGTGGTTACGAGGCGACCAGCAGCACTGTACTGCATTGCGACACCACACTCGGTTACTGTAGCAAATGATGGGCAGCGTGAGTTTTTACACTAAAAATGGTCCAAATTTCATTAAAAATGATCCAACATTTATGAAAAATGGTCCAAAATTCATTGAAAATGGTCCAAAATTCATTAAAAATGGTCCAAAATTCATGAAAAATGGTCCAAAATTCATGAAAAATGGTCCAAATTTCATTAAAAATGGTCCAAATTTCATCAAAAATGATCCAACATTTATGAAAAATGGTCCAAAATTCAATGAAAATGGTCCAAAATTCATTAAAAATGGTCCAAAATTTATGAAAAATGGTCCAAAATCCGTGAAAAATTGTTAAAAATTCATTTAAAAAAATGGTCCAAAATTCATTAAAAATGATCCAAAATTCATGAAAATTGGCCCAAAATCCATTAAAAATTATCAGAAAATTCATCAAAAAATGGATCTAAATTCATAAAAAATTATATAAAATTGACTCAAAAATGATCCGAAATTCGAGCCTTTTTTTCTAGCTGAAATTTCGATTTTTTTAAACTTTATTCAAATTTCAAATTCCCGCCAGCCCATTTTCTTGGACTTTTACCCAAAAAACTATTGGAAATCCCTCCAATTTCATCCCAATTTAGGCCTTTTTTTTCAGCTCAAAATTTGGGTTTTTTTTCGAATTTTAATTTTTCGAATTCAAAATTTTCAAATTCCCGCCAACCCAAATTTCCCCGATTTCTACAGAAAAAAACTCTGCCGAAAGAGCTAATTTTTATGTCGTTTTTGGCTTTAAAATGTCGTTTTTTTCAATTTTCAAAATTTTCAAATTCCCACCGAACCACCTCACCCGATTCCCCCCATTTTTTGCAGATTTCTACGCTGGAGTAATGCAAGAATTGGAAATCGACGTCGAGGCGAAATGTGAAATTCCCAAAGAGACGCATCTGGAAATCGAACCATCCACCCCGAATTTCCAGTTTTTGGATGATTCTCAAGAATGGAAAAATTCAATGAAAATGGCACTTTTGCCTTTCGAATCGATGGAAAAACGGAGGTTTCGAGTGAGAATTTGGCTGAAAATCGATTCGACGATTTGCGAGTCGGCGGCGGTGCAGAAGAGAGCGGTGAGCAATTCTGATGAGCAAGACTGGGAAGACTGGGAATTTGGAGAACTGGAATTCTAGAAATGAGAAATCTAAGACCTCGAAATATTGGATTTTTAGGAATTCAAAAGTTTTGAAAAACTGGAAAATGGGGATTCAGAAAATTGGATCACTGAGCAATCTAGAAATTTCGAAATCCAGAAATCTAGGATTCTGAAAATTGAAAATTCCAAGTCCTGAATATCTGAAAATTTCGGAATCTAGCAATCAGAAAATCCTGGAATCTAGAGTTTTGTAAATCTTAAAATCTGAGAAGTCTGAGAATCTGGGATTCTGTAAATTCAGTAATCTGGAAATCCAGAAATCTAGGATTCTGAAAATTGAAAATTCCAAGTCCTGAATATCTGAAAATTTCGGAATCTAGCAATCAGAAAATCCTGGAATCTAGAGTTTTGTAAATCTTAAAATCTGAGAAGTCTGAGAATCTGGGATTCTGTAAATTCAGTAATCTGGAAATCCAGAAGTCTAGGATTCTGAAAATTGAAAATTCCAAATTCTGGAAATCTGGAAGTCTTGAAATCTAAGAATCTTGAAATTTGGGAATCCGAAAATCCAGTAATCTGAAAATTTCGGAATCTAGAATATTGTAAATCTGAAAATCTGAGAAGTATGATAATAAATCTAGGATTCTGAAATTTCGAAAAAATAATAAATCCTGGAAATCTGGAAATCTGGAAATTCAGAAATCTAGAATTCTGAAATTTTGGGAATTGGAAAATCACGGAATCTGGTCTGGAAATCTGAAAATCTTGAAATTTGGGAATCCGAAAATCTGGTTTCTTAAAAAACTAGATTTTCCAGAAATCCTGTATTCCAGTCTGAAAATTTAAAATTCTGGAAATCTTGAAAATTAAAAAATCTTAATGTCCGGAATTTTGAAAAATTCATATTTTGAATTCTATGGAATCTCAGAAATCTGGAAATCAAGAATTTGAGAGTAAAACAAAATTTTGGATTTCTAGAATTCGGAAAATCTTAAATTTTCTGAAAATTTGGAAATCCCTGAAATCTAAAAATCTTGGAATCTTGGAAACCAGGAATCTCAGATCTAAAGAAACTAAAAATTCGAAAATCTGGAAATTTGAAATCCGCTCATCTAGAAAACTGAAAATCTAGAAACCTAGAACTCGAAATTGATCGTTTTGAACCCGAAAAATTGCAAAAAAAACCCGTAATTTTCACCCTCATCTCGTAGTCTGTTATAGTTAGCGCCGATATATGATGAAAATGGCATAGAGAGACTGATAAGAACAAATTATCACTGATAACTGATTAACTATAAACAATTTCAAAATTTCAGTTGCCACTCAAACACATTTATTATAAAAATTCAGAAAAATCGGTTTTGCAAACACAGAAAAAAAACGATAATCGGAAGAATTTGACACGTATCATTTTTGACAACAGGAAGGGAGTAACATATGACAAGAGACGGTCAGAAATATACACAAAAAATTGTAGGCCTCCGCGCTACAGTAATCCTTTGAAGGCGCTTAGGACAACTCGACTTGAGCCATCACACAGGCGATCTCCTCGTGAGCAGTGTTTCCCTTGTTGTAGTTGAACATGCGAATCTCGAGTTCGTAGGGTTTCTGAAAAAGGAGGAATTGAGGGTTTGGAGTGGAAAATTGCAATTTTAGGGTTCAAATTGGGCACAAATAGTCAATTTTTCGTCTAAAACGGCTCGAAAAAGGACCAAAAGTGGTCGGAGATAGTCCAAACGTGGATCAAAAATCGCTGAAAGTGAGCTGAAAGTGCCAGAAAATGACCGAAAATGGATTAAAAATGGTCCAAAAATGGTCTGAAATAGAAGTTGTGTAAGAATGGTCCGAAATAGTCCCGCACGTCCCAAAAACGGCCCAGGTTGACTCTAAAAAGGCGTCTCTAACTAGCCTAAAACAAAAAAAAACTGACTCTAACTAGCCTAAAACATTCCGAAAATGGTCCAAAATAGTCTAAAAATGGTACCGACTGATCCAATAATGGTCTGAAATGGCTTAAAATAGAATTAAACTGCCCGGAAATGATCCAGAATAGTCTTAAAATGGTCCAGATCGATCCCAAAATGCCCAAAAATGTTCAAGAATGTCTAAAGATCATCCGGTCTTTGTTCAAAAACCGCCTAAATTGGTCCAAAAAAGCTCAGGAATAGCTTTAAAATTGGCTTGAAAGACCCAATACGGGCTGAGAACGGCTCTGGAACCCGCCTAAACTGTCCCAAAAGCTCAGAAATGGCTTTAAAAATGGGTGAAAACCCCCAAATATGGGGTAAGAATGTCCCTGATGGCCTTCAACACTCTAAACTTACATAAGCAGCCAACATATTGATGATAGCGGAGAACTGACTCAAATCCAACGGCAAAATCAAGAAAAGTGGTCCAGAAGTGAGCGGACAGTTATGGGCAAAGTCACATCCGTCGATACCATTGAGCAATCCAAAGGTGGGAATCGCGGTCCACGCACAATCCCCAGACCATCCAGCCTTATACTGATTGATCTTCACATTCACATGATTATCATCAATCTGTGGTCCGTGATTATAGGTGGTCAGATTGAGAATGAACTCATTGCGTGGGTCGATTGGGTAGATTGGTTTGCCATTCTTGTCCAAGGTCTGGATGTCGGTAATCGAGAATTGCTCATTGTCAGAGCACATGTAGGAATGGATCTGTTTGTCAGTACCATTTGGGAATGGGCAGTCGGCTAGGTTTTCCACTGGAAAAGCGTGGAAGGAAGAGCAGAGGAGTAGAGAGGTGGCTAGAAGAAATCGGAGCATTTTTAGTGGGCTGGCAAAAATGAGTTCCAGCGATTTCTATTTATACGGCACGGGAGAGTTTGTGCTTCTGGAAGTGGTGTCACCCCATTTCAGAGGAGCCCCGCCCCTTTTTCTCCTATCAGGTTATGCGTCGCATAGATTGCTTATCAGTGTGTGTGTGTGTGTGTCTGCTAGCTAGCTATGTGCTGCTGCGTGGCAATGGACGTTTGGTCGGAGAGGGGGAAAAGTGTTTTCTGAACACAGCTTGCTAGCTAGCTATGTGGAAAAGAAGGATTGATAAGGAAATTATATGGTGGTGAAAAAGTTAGTCACTCTCTTTCAATGACATTTTTAATTGCAACGAAACGGTTCTGATGTGATGGGCTACAGGAGCTAAGCGGGTCGGGAGAACGAAGATGACAGGAGAAGTTGTTAGCTAGATGGGTGGTCCAATGGTTTTGAGATCTTGGAGAGACCCGCATTTTTGCAGTCGGGCATTTCCAGAGAAAGGTCTAATTCCGCAACTGTAGCTCATCGGACTAATGGCTGATATCATAGTTAGGCAACATCTTGCCAAGACTTGTCCAACCCCTCAGTTTGAAACGACAGAATGAAGAGTAGATTCTCAGTGCATCAGAATGTTCATTCAGAAGCTAGCTCAAGTAGCCGTTAGCTTACTGGAAGAGGAATCCGTTTCTTGGAAATGTAGATGTCAGGAGATCCGACTTCCGGATCTCTAAGTTCCTGCTTTCCACCTTGACTTTATAGCCTTAAGCAATCTGAAAGCTGGAATCTTCAGAAGGCTCTCTGGTTTCATCTGGAACTATCAATCTACGAGATCGCTTTCGCGACGCTTCTAGACGATCTATGGCTTTATGAATCAAGCTTGAAGCCTCCCAAGAGTTTCCTGACTGGGTGGTCTTGTTTGTTAGACTACCATGGTCCGTCACGACAAACCTCTTGTTTACCCAAACGTTATAGCTTAATATTGATGAGTTCAGCAATGTTGCTCTAGTAAACAAGACATATTCTCTGACCTACGCTACCGTATTCTTCTTTTTGGTAAACAAGAAAGGGACGTTGCAAGGCCGTAGTAGTCAGATTGCTACATAGCTAGCTTCAAATGCAGTACCTTCGGCCTGATGTGGCTGTGTCGCCGACCATAACATTTTTAGTCAGATAAGATCGGTCGGCGGCAATAGGAGGAATCTTCCGGAGTCTGGCCATCTTCCGGAAGGCAAGCTCTCACAGAGTCTGTATCAAGATCAGAGCTCTCAGAAGTTATGATCTTTGTCTTTCGATTTCCGTCTTCCGATTTCCGACACTTATCATCCTGGTAGTGGATTCTGCGAGCTCTGGATTCTCGAACAACTCAGCTCATCCTTACCCTGAAAGAACAACTGCTCTTCGAATTCTGCCGCCTCTGACGTCAAGCTTACCGTCTTGCCGGTGCTGGTAGCGGATTCTGCAAGCTCCGAATTGTTAAGCCTCCTAGTCTACTACATTGGAAGACAGATCTATCTTCATTTGCATCTGAAGGCCTCCCTCCGTTTCCAACATTTCCACTCCTAGAATGTTGTCATTTTGGCGGCAAAATTATGCCCCTCGAAAAGCAATTGACAGGTTGTAGTTTAGTTAACCATACATATGACATCAAACATGTATGATTAGCATGCAGTATGTCACCATCTCGCTAACTATACAACAAGGGTAAAGATCGGAGAAGGGAATCGGAGTAAACACTGGAAACGTGTTGCTGGAAATGATTGGAGGCGAGATGGAATCATTGGAAAGAATACTATAGGAGATATGTAAGAGGTACTGTAGGAGAAGTAGGAGATGTATAAGGTACTGTAGAAGTATGTAGGAGGTATGTGTGAGGTACTGTAGGTGGTGTTTAGGAGGTACTCTAGGAGGTGTAGAAGGTATGTTGGAGGTGTAGGAGGTTCATGAGGTACTGTAGAAAATGTGTGAGGTACAGTAGGAGGTGTATGAGGTCTAGGAGGGATATGAGGTGTTTAAGGGACTGTAGGAAGCATGTAGGAGGTATGTAGAAGGTATTGTAGGGGGGGGGGGAGTACTGTAGGAGATATTGTGAGAGGTCTAGAAGGTACTGTAGGAGGTACGGTAGGTACTATTGCTGTTCTGCTCTATGGTGGGCTAGAGAGCCCTGTGATTCCTTAGAAATGGTTCAGCCTGGACCAACACTTCGGGTAGCTAATCTTGATGGTCTAGACTATCAAAAATAAATATGGCCTAGGAAACCGAATCTCGGAAAATTCTAGGCCATGTTTGTTGGCTCAGCTGCCTCCTCTGTATCATTTTGGCTTTCAACATTCCACCAATTTGCTGACTAGGTGGTCTTTTTGCCCCGGGAAATGAATGATTTTTTTTCGCTGACTCTTTGATGAGCTCAGCACATTTTTTCCACTATCTACAGTACCCTAGAATTGCTGATTTTGTAGTTTTTCCTGACTGTAAACAAGATTACCCGTGAGAAAAAACTCCTGAATTTCGATTTTTTCAGCTCCTCATCAAATGGATGGACCGAAAATACAACATTTCGCTGCACTTCGTTCCGGTGATGGTCATCAATTCGAAGACGTCAATGCTGACGACAGAGTGAGTTTGGATTTCTAGGCCACCTCCCGAGTTTTCATGGAAGCTTGTTGGCCGAATTTTTGGATTTTCTAGGCCACGAATTCCATTTTCGCTTCCAGCATCCTCCTTGAAGTCGAGCTAAACCGCGCGGCCGGTCCCAACATCACTACAGTAATCGACTCCGCCCATTTATCGATTGAATCGATTGATTTGTCGAATTATCCAGAAGTGGCGACGCCATTAAGCCAATTCCCAATGGAAGCCGACCTGCTTTCAGTCTCGAATCTGATTTGGAAGCTGCCATTGAAGGTTTGTAGGGTCCTGAAACTACAGTAACCCAAGAAATTTAATTTTTTCAAAATTTCAAGTTTTCACTGGTTCTTGAGTCAGGAAGTTTGACGCTTTTCGTGAGCCTGAAAATCTGAAAATCGATTTTTTCGGAGTCTCAAAACGAAAACTACCGTAACCCAAAAATCCGAAATTTCTCTTCCAGGGCTCCCTAGTCAAGCATCGTCTCCATCTGGACTACACTGTCAAAAACCAGGACCCGCCCCTAAAATACACATTCGACGACATCGTCGAGCTTACTGTACCCGACGTCCAATTCGAAATTTGCACCCAAGTGCTGAGCCAACAGCCGGGAGCCCAACTGTGTCGTGCCACGTCACCATGCCATTTTGTCATATCGATTCGATTTTTGAAAGAATCATCGTGCAGTCTTCTGATTGTACTCGACGCTGATGATCGGATGTGGACGTTGGTGGAGAGAACGAAAAGTGAGAGAAAATTGATGGAAAATGAGCCTAAAACGACCTAAATTGGTCCAAATAGACTTGAAATAGGCTTAAAATGGTCTGAAATAGGTCAAAATTATCAAAATTTGGCAGAAAATGGGTTGAAAATAGGCGTAGAATATGCTTCAAACGATCCGAAATAGGCCTAAACCATCGAAAATAGACTAAAAACGAACTGAAATCGGCCTAGACTAGGTTTGAAATAATCCAAAATATGCCTAAAGTATCAAAACAGGCTTAAATCATCAAAATTTGGCAGAAATTAGTCCAAAATTGGCTTAAAATAAGCCAAGAATGGACCAAAATCATCGCAAACCCTCAAAATGTGACAAAAAATGGTCTAAAGTCGGCTTAAAATAGGCTTGAAACGGGCCAAAATGATCCCAAAATCATCAGAAAAGTTGCAATTTCAGGCAGTTCTAAACTTTTCTACAGTAATCCAATAAGCTCCGCCCACAAAATATGTTTTCAGTGGTCACCGTCAAAGACAGTGGACTGGGTCAGCTGGCGCTGACGATTATTCCAGTGGTCGCCGGATTTCTACCATTTCCAAACGTGTCGATTTATGAGTGTCATTTCGCGGTAAGACCCATTTTTAGCTTTGAAAAACTACAGTAATCCAAGAATAATTTAGATAAATTTGCTCAAAAATGAGTGAAAATAGACGCGAAAATCACCGATTTTTTTTTGGGAACTACAGTAACCTAATAAGCTCCGCCCACTTTCCACAATCTACAGTGACGAATGTTGCTGCTACTGTAATCCAAAAACAAGTTCTTGACAAAACGCATTTGAAAAATAAGACCACACCATACTTGTAAAATTCCGGGCCGGCCCACCAAATCCCGGGCCGGGCCTGAGGAAATTTTCAAGGCCCGGGCCCGGCCCGGAAGGCCCGGTGTCAAAAATTCTGTATTTTTGAGCCAAATTTTGAGCTCTCAAAATAATTTTTTCCATTTTTTTTCGTATTTCGGATTGTTTGTCTGTCTGATCAAAAAAGATCGAAAAACTCGAAAAAAATTTTTTTTGGTCGAAAAAAATCACATAAGGGTCCCCCCTTATGTGTTTTTTGAAAATTTCGAAACTAGTGAAATGACGGGCCTGCCGGGCCGGGCCGGGCCTCCGAAATTCCGGGAAAAGCCCGGCCCGGCCCGTTACAAGTATGGACCACACCCACTGTTTAGGAATTCTACCGTAGTCCTAAGTTAAGCTCCGCCCCTTTTGTTTGGTCACAAACACACACTTTTTGCATAGTTTTTTATGTAGTTGATGATGATAAATAATTTTTTTGGCTGATAAGAAATTTTTGGAAAAAAAATTTATTGGAAATTCGTTTTGATATTTTGTGCTGAACAGAAAATTTGTGACATTTTGAAGCACAAAATATTGAAAAGTCAAAAATAGTGGACATCTGGACACACAGACAGACATAAAATTTCAAGAAAAGGGGGAAATTTTGAAGTTTGAAAATCTGAAAATTTTGAAATTTTGGAATTTTGGAAATCCTGGAATTCGAAAATCTGGAATTCGAAAATTTTAGACTTTAAAAAATGCAAAATCTAAAAATCCATAAATTTGAAATCGCGAAAATTCAAAAGTCTGGGATTCTGGATATCTGGAATTCTGGTATTCTGAAAATCCGAAAGTTTCGAAAACTGTAAATCTGATATTCTGAAATTATGAATACCTGAAATTTAAAAAAAACTGAAAATCTGGAATTCTGAAAATGCAGTTTTCTGAAAATTGGGAGCCTGGAAATTTTTTTAAAAAACCTAAAAATACGAAAATCTGGAAATCTTGAAACTTCTAAATCTGAAAAAAATATTCTGGAAAAAATGAAAATCCGGTAGATATAATAGAAAAAATCCGAAAATTTCAATTTTTTGAACTTACAGATTTTCGATTTTTTGAAAAATTGAAAAAATAATTCTGAAAGTCTGAAATCGATATATCTGAATTTCTGAAAATCCTAAAGTTTTGAAAATTGAGAATCTGTAGATATGAAGAATCTGACACGAAAATCTGAACATCTGGAATTTGGAAATCTGGAAAACTGGAAAACATTGCATTTTCATCTGAAATTGTGAATCTTAATAATTCAAAAATTCTGAAATTCGAAAATTTCTGAAAATCCGAAAATTTCTAAAATTCTGAATTTTCATATTTCAGAAATTTTAGGAAATCCGAAAATCCCAAATTTCGATACATTTGAATTTCCCGGCAAATCAAAATTTTCGAATAAAATCTCTTGAAAAAATATGTCTTGAAAATCCGAAAAAAAATCGAAAATGATGAAAACATGAAATTTTAGGAGAAAATTTCCAAAATTCTATTCTTTTTTGTGTTGCAGTCCGACACGATCATCCCAGAAAAAGATATGATACATCTGGACACACAGACAGACATAAAATTTCAACAAAAGGGGAAAATTTCGAAGTTTGGAAATCTGAAAACTTTGGAATTTTGGAAATCCTGGAATTCGAAAATCTGGAATTCGAAAATTTTAGACTTTAAAAAATGCAAAATCTAAAAATCCATAAATTTGAAATCGCGAAAATTCAAAAGTCTGGGATTCTGGATATCGGGAATTGAGAAAATCTTTAAAAATTGGAATTCTGAAATTCTGAAAAATTTTAAATGTTTGGATTTCTCTGGTTTTGCAGCATTTTCACTTTGAAGTTTCTGGAAAATCTGAAAATCCGGAAATCTTGAACTTCAAATATCTAGAAATGGGAGAATCTGAAAATCTGGAATTTTAACATTTGAAAATTTTCTAAAAATTGAAATTTGAGAATGTGGAAATTGGAAAATCCGGAAACTTATTTTTTTTCTGAAAATCGGAAACCTGAAAATCGGAGTTCCAGAATTGCAAGAATCTAGGAACCAATTATATTCTGAAACTCAAAGAACTTAAGAAGCTGAAAATCTCTAAAAACTGGGAATTCGAAATTGAATTTCAGGATTTTCAGGAAATCTGAAAATCTCGAAATTCGAAAAAAAATCTCCAAAATTCAATTATTTAATTTTTTGCAGTCCGACACGATCATCCCAGGAAAAGATATACTATTTTTCAATCGAACCGCTGGAAAACAAATTCGAGTGCTTTCTCCAAATAATAATTCCGAAAATAACAATTTCGGAAAGGATGAGCCGGCAAGAGGATCGAATCGAATCAAGAAGACCATCGAGAAACTTTTTGATTAATTTTGTTTTTTTTGGAATTTTTGGAATTTTTTGATTTTTACAACATTTTTTCGATTTTGAAGAACCTTGAAATTCTGAATTTTTTGGATTTTTGACAATTCTGAAATTTGGATTTTCCTGCTATTTTTTCTCGAAGAACCAACTTTTTGGGATTTTGAAAATTTCTAAATTTTAATCTCAAAATTTTGAAATTTTAATATCACAATTTTCCCAAAAATCCAATTTTTTGAAATTTCAGAAATTTCTAGAATTTAGAATTTTCCCAAAATTTTCATGTACATTTCCACTAACTTCACATAATTTATTGGCATTTTTATTGCATGATTTGTCCATTTCCTTTGGGTTTCTAGTCATATTTTTTCATAATTTGTCATAATCATTTGTGATATTTTTTCCCCGCATTTTTAGGCTGAAAATTGATATTGGTGCTGTTGAAAAAATGAAGATTTCTATTTGATTTTTCAAAGTTTTTTTTTCCATTTTTCAGGTTTTTTTCCATGTTTGAATATCTATATTTTTCCTTTCTTTCAGTTTTTTTTCAAACTTTTAGCCCAAAATTGTTTTTCAGACTAACTTTCGCATTTTCATGGTCACCTAAATCACTTTTAAAAGAGAATTTTTCAAATTTCCCTCCAAAAAATGGCCCAAATCAAGAAGTTATGGCTACTGTTCTCGATTATCACCACAATGATAATGCTGATGTTTTTGATTGGTGGATCCAATATTTCACAGGGATTCTCTTCGAGTTATTCGTTTAATGGAGATATGGACCCAAGAGCAATGAGGCGATTCAAAAATGTTAGAAAAATTGCTTTTTTGAAGAAAAATCGCTTTTAGATAAGCTGAAAATCAGAAAAATCGGCTGAAAATGACCCAAAAATCATGAAAAATGAAGATGACCGAATTTTGGGTTCCTAAGCCTTTCGGATTTTTGAAATTCGGATTTTTGAAAATTTAAAAACTTAAAAAATTTGAATTTCCATCTGAAATTGTGAAAACTTCTGAAAATCCGAAAATTTCTGAAATTCCGAATTTTTAATCCAAAAATCCCAAATTTCGACACATTTGAATTTCCCGCCAAATCAAAATTTCCGAATAGAAAAATTTTGAAAATTCAAAAAAATTGGATTTGCTGAAATTCGAAAATTCAATCATCTCAAAATTTTGAATTTCCCGCCAAACTAATTTATTTCAAAAAATTCAAATTTCCAGTTAATCGTGCATATCGATTTGAAAGGAGCGCCGCCTCGAGTCGAATATCTCATTGATTTCTTCAAATTATTGTCAAAAAACCACGTGGATGGTGTGGTGATGGAATACGAGGATATGTTTCCATATTCTGGAGATTTAGAAGACGTCAGGAGGGATTCTGGAGCATATTCAGAAGATGACATCAGAAGAATCACAATGGAAGCGGCTGCGTTGAATTTGGAGATTATTCCGTTGATTCAGACTTTTGGACACTTGGAATTTTTATTAAAAGTGAGAAAATTCAAAAAAAGCGAAAATTTCGGAAATCCAAAAAAACACCTCTCCAGATCTTGAAGACATTATTTTGGGACTTCAAGACTGAAAAATTCGAATTCAGGGCGAAAATCTATCCTATGCTCGAAAAAAACGAGAGAAATCATTGAAATCCGAGATTTTTCCATGATGGCCGAGTTTTAGATTTCTAGGCCATCATGCTCAAAATTTGTTTAAAACATGAAATCCGTGGCTTTTTATCGGTTTATAGTGAGAAAATCAAGTTTTCCTCAAAATTCTACCCAGAAATCAACAATTGGGCTCAATGGCCGAGTTTTGGTTTTCTAGGCCACCATGCTCAAAATCGTCAAAAACACTATTTTCAATCAGTTTCAACACATAAAGTTGCTCTGAAGTTGCTAAAAACTAAATTTTTGATGATGGCCGAGTTTTGGATTCCTAGGCCACCATGCTTAAAATTGAAAAAACGCGATTTTTAGTCAATTCCCGTCAATAGTCGGATTTTCAATCAGTTTTTTCGATTTTTCGATTCTCAGAAATCTCAAAAATTTCAAAACTTTCAATTTACCGCCAATCTTCCAGCGCCCCGCATTCCGCACTCTATCCGAAGACTTCATCGACATCAACACAATTTGTATTTCCGACGATCGATCAATCGATATCATCCATCAAATGATTCTTCAAATTCGACGTCTTCATCCGAATTCCACTCGCATTCATATCGGTTCAGATGAAGCGTACCACGTGGCAGAAGACGTCAGATGTCATCAGAAGATGAGCAATGAGAAAATTGGAAAATCTGAGCTAAAAATGAGACATATTGCGAAAATTGGGAAATTCGCTAGAGAAATTGCTCATTTTAAGACGGTTTTCGCCTGGAACGATATGTTTGACAAGGAGGCGGAGTCTGCGATAAAAGGGGCGGAGCTTCACAAATGGATTGTTCCTGTGGTCTGGGGATATCGTGTGGATGTCACAGAGGACGGATACTTCCCAGAGGGTCTTTTTGAGAGGATTCCAAATGTTTTTGAGGAGTTTTATGTGGCCAGCGCTTATAAAGGCAGGATTTCTGGCTCACTATCAGAAATGTTTTTTTTCCAAAATCATAAGTTAGGATTCTGAGACATTCTGACGCGTTGAAACTTGAAAATTCGGATTTATCGCGAAAATCTACCCCTAGGACCCAAAAATCCGTACAAAAATGATTCAAATCCGAGATATTTCCATGCTGGCCGAGTTTTGGATTCCTAGGCCACCATGTTGAAATTCGTTGAGAACGTGAACTCCAGGGCTTTTGAGATGTTTTAAAAAGGAAAATCGAGTTTCCCGCAAATGTTCACCCTGAAATCCAAAATTGGGCTCAATGGCCGAATTTTTGTTTCCTAGGCCACTATGCTAAAAATTGTCAAAATCGCGGGTTTTAGCTGATTTTAAGCAAAAACTTCAGATTTAACACAAAAATCTATTCTATGCTCCAAAAACAGGGAAAAATCCATTGAAATCCGCGGTTTTCCCATGCTGGCCGAGTTCTGAGTTCCTAGGCCACCATGTTGAAACCTGTATAAACGCATGAAATCCGGGGCTTTTGATCTGTTTCAAGTAGGAGAATCTGGTTTCCCATGAAATTTCATCCAGAAATCCAAAAAATTCGAATTTGGCCCAGTGGCCGAGTTTTGGATTTCTAGGCCACTGTGACAAAAATCGTTGAAAACACGATTTTCTAATAAATTTCATACCAGGCATACCCGAATTTTCTAAATCTAACCAATAATTTTGAAAAATCGGCTGAAAACCGAGATTTTCAGATGGTGGCCGAACTTTTTTGGTTTTCTAGGCCACTAAGCTCCAAATCGTTAAAAACACGATTTTCAGCCAGTTTCGATCCGAAATTGTTAATTTCGGCCTTCAATTCGCTCAAAATTCAACGCAGCCTGCTAAAAACCAACTTTCCGGTGGTGGCCGAACTTTTTGGATTTCTAGGCCACCATGCTCAAAATCGTCAAAAACACGATTTTCAGCCAGTTTTCGATATGCAATTGATTCTAAAATGAAAAACAGTAATATATAAATAAAAATGTTCATGCTGGCCGAGGTTTTGGATTTCTAGGCCACCATGTTGAAAACTTTTTTTTTCGAAAACTTCAACGTTTTGTAATTTCTAGGTGCCGATGGAGCGCGACAACAGTTTTCTAACATCTCCCGCTACTTGGAAAATCAGAAATCCTACACAAAATTGATGGATTTGCACCCAAAAGCAGCTGGAAAAGTGTCTGGAATCTTCGTGACGGGATGGAGTCGATTCAATCATCTGAACGCGGTCTGCGAGCTACTTCCCGTTGCGATTCCATCGCTAATTATCGACTTATTGTATTTAAATTATGGAATTTCCGGAAATTCCGCATGGAAATCCATGAAAAATCAGCTGGAATGTGATCAGGAGACGTTTTTGAGAGGTGTCCTCTCGGAATGGACCATAAGAGGATGCGAATTTCCGGGGGCGGATGTTTTTGAGATTGTGAGTACATTGAATGAAATTTGAAAAAAAAAAGTACAAAATTTGAGAAAAAATGAGCCAAAATGAACAAAAAATGAGCAACGTTTCAGGAAAAATATTTCAAAAAAAATTTTTTTTTTCGAAAATCTGGAATTTTTAGATGTTTTGAAGCTTAGCTTTTTGGAAATTTCAAGCCTTTTTATATCGAAAACTCAAAAAGAATTCCAGATAATGCACGAATGGAAACGGCAGGTGGATCGTCGGCTACTGGGTCGAGCCGACCTCTCACCGGACCAAAAATCACCCACAGAAGTGCTGAGCAATCTGAGAACAGCTCTAAAACCAATCCTCTTCGACGCGGATATCGATGAAATTTATCACCAATACTTGAATGATTTCCATTCCATTCATTCGAGAACAACCATCTATCCAGATCTCATGAACTCTTGATTTTGACACTTTGAAATTTGAAAATTCAAATTTATCGCGAAAATCTACCCCTCGAACCCGGAAAATCGAGAAAAATCCATCGAAATCCGAGATTTTTCAATGCTGGCCGAGTTTTGGATTCCTAGGCCACCATGCTGAAAATCGTTAACAACATGCTTTTCGGGAATTTTGAGATGTTTTAAGCAGGAAAATCAAGTTTCCCACAAAATTCCACACTGAAATCAAAAATTGGGCTCAATGGCCGAATTTTGGATTTCTAGGCCACCATGCTGAAAATCGTCAAAAACACGATCTACGATAGATTTTTACTCCAAATTTTTGATTTTCCATCTAAAACTTGCTATAAATTCAAAACGGGTGAATAAAGATCAGATTTTTGATGGTGGCCGGCCATTTTGGATTTCTAGGCCACGATGATTTTTTTGGTTTCCTAGGCCATTTCGCTCAAAATCGCCTTAAACACGATTTTCAATCAATTTCGGCACATAAAACTGCTTTAAAATAGCTGAAAACCAGATTTTCGATAGTGGCCGAACTTTTCGGGTTTCTAGGCCATTTTGTAGATTTTCGCGATTCGTGTACCTCTCTTTTTATAGTTGTATTTTTGCACTTTTGTACTTTCTGTGAACGGGTTTTTGAGCATTGTTTTCCTGAAATTTTGGCATAATTCGAATAAAACGAGATATCTCTAGATCGATTATTGATTTTTTTATTGATTTTTCTGTTTGGTTCTCGACCGATTTTTTTTTACTTTTTCTGGTTTTTTTTTCAGAATTCGGAACAATAAAAGTTTCAGATGAAGAAACGAGAAAAGGAGGATGAGGAGGGTCTTCTAATGCGAAAGACGTACACAGCCGGCGGATCGTCGTCAGTTTTGATTGGAGGTACAGTAATCCAAGGTGGCCGAATTTCGGATTCCTAGGCCACCTTGTTGAAAACGCGAAAAATTGAAGAAACGCGTGTATTTGAAGCCGAAAAGTGGAAATTTTCGAATTTTGGGATATGGTGGCCTAGAAATCTGGAAAGTTCGGCCATAGTATCAAAAGTCGGGTTTTCGGAGGTTCTAGGGTGGAATTTTTGAGGGAAGCCGGATTTCGAGCTAATTTTCTACGCGGAAATCGCGAGTTTTCTATTTTTAGCGATTTTTTGATGTGGTGGCCTAGGAATCCAAAAAACTCGGCCACCACTCGAAAATGTTGGTTTTTAGAGCGAAAATTTGCTAGAAATTCGAATTTTCAAATGAAATTGGCTGAAAAGTCGAGTTTTCGGCGATTTTGGGCACCATGGCCTAGAAATCCGAAAAACTCGGCCACCAAACTCAAAGTCGGTTCTTCGATGGTTCTAGAGTAGAATTTCGTGCTCATTTTTGTCATGGAATCTTTGTGATAGCTTATTTTCAGCGATTTTTGTATTGGTGGCCTAGAAAAAAATTCGGCCATCAGCCAAAAATTGGTTTTTTTCGGAATCATAAGCCAGAATTTTGTGGGGAATTCGAAATTCGAGCTAATGTTTGGCTCGGAAATCGCGAGTTTAATATTTTTAGCGATTTTTGGATGTGGTGGCCTAGAAAATCGAAAAATCGAAAAACTCGGCCACCACTCGAAAATGTTGATTTTTAGCCTTCTGGTTTTGGTTTTAGAGTGAAAATTTGCTAGAAATTCAAATTTTCAAATGAAATCGGCTGAAAAATCGAGTTTTTGGCGATTTTGAGCACCATGGCCTAAAAATCTCGAAAGTTCGGCTATCATACCTAACGTCGGTTTTTCGAGGGTTCTAGAGTAGAATTTCGCGAGGAATACAAATTTCGAGCGAATTTTTGTCACGGAATCTTTGTATTATCTAATGTTCAGCGATTTTTGGATGTGGTGGCCTAGAAAATCGAAAAACTCGGCCACCAAACTCAAAGTCGGTAGTGTTGGTGTTCTAGGCCAGATTTTTGCGCAAAATTCAAATTTTCGAGTATCAAAGCGTTCTTCTTAATGTGGAAACCAAGGAAATTCGAAAAGAAAATTCCCAAAACTTCAGACCACGACTCGGATTCCGAAGAGTTTCCACCGACGTCTTCATCTCACCACCATCACCATGCCACGTCACCGGACCCAACATTCTCTCCATGGCCGCATGTATTCAATCTGGCCAACTGTATAATCGGTGTATCAGTATTAGCAATGCCCTATGTCTTCCAACAGTGTGGAATACTTCTAGCCGCCATTATGATTGCCCTTTGCGCGGTTTTAACCAAGCTAACGTGTCATTTTCTGGCTCAAGCGGCGTTTAATACCAGGTGAGTGGCCTAAAAAACTCTTAGGCCCCCAAAAGTTAAAAATTCCAGAACACTATCCTATGAGAGTCTGGCGATGGCAACGTTGGGACCATCGGGACGCCGGTTCGTCGAGCTGTGTCTTTTGGTGTTTTTAGTGTCCTCAATTGTGGCTTTCATCGTTGTCATTGGAGACATCGGACCGCATTTGGTGGCCGAGTTTTTGGAATTGGAAGCGCCGACACAGAGATTGAGGATTCTGGTGATGGTAGAGCTTAGATTGTTGGATTTTTAGATATTTTGCCACCTTTTTCGGCCTAGAAATTGCCTAAAATGAGCCTTGTGTGTTTCCAGGCCATTTGAGCGTGGCGGCCTAGAAAACTCAAGTTGAGAAAGTTAGGCCACCATGTCAAAAGAGCCTGGAAAACACACCAAGGTAATATCAGGCCATTTCTAGACCATTTTGACATGGTGGTTTGGGAAAATCAACTTGTGAAAGTTAGGCCATCATGCTAAAATAGCCTAGAAACGACTTAACATGACCCTAGTGTATTTTCTAGGTCATGCACATGTTGGACTAACTTTTGCGAATTGGGTTTTCTAGGCCATCATGTTTTTCTGGCCTAGAAATGGCCGAACATAACCCTGGTGGCTTTCTAAGTCATTTTAAGGTGGTGGCCTAGAAAACTCACTCAACATTGCAAAAGTTAGGCCACCACGTTAAAATAGCCTAGAAATGACCTGATGTTCATCTGGTGTGTTTACTAGGTCATTTAACACAGTGACCTAACTTTTCTAGGCTATTTCAACATGGCGGCCTTACTTTTTCAATTTGATTTTTCTAGGTCACCATCTTTGTTTGGCCTAGAAATAGCCTAACACGACCCTGATGTGTTTTTAGCCTATTTTTACATTGTGGCCTAACTTTCGCAATTTTCGTTTTCTAGGTCACCATAGTAAATGGTTTAGAGAACTCATCAAATGAATGTCAAGTAATTTCTAAACCTTTTTCCATGCTGGCCTAGAAAACCCAACTTGCAAACGTTAGGCAATCATGACTCCTTCCAACCCTTTCCAGATCGTCGTTGTCGTCTTCATAATCTTGCCCCTCTCGTTCATAGACGACCTCAAAAAGTTCTCAGTGATCAGCTCTCTCGCCTGCCTCTTCTACCTCTTTTTTGCCGTTCGAATGATGCTCGAATCCTTGCCAACGATCTATGCAGGCGAATGGAGCATCCACGTCGTCTGGTGGAGACCTCAAGGATTCTTGACGTGTCTTCCGATCGTTTGTATGGCCATGTGCTGTCAGACACAACTCTTTCCGGTCATTTCGTGTATTAAGGGTGAGCTAGTGGGCGTGCTTTCCTTCAAGCTCAATTATCTCGCTTCCTATAAAAGATATCAGAAAATTGTCAATTGATAAAATGTTACTGATAATATGATAAACATTTTATCAGTTGACAAAATTTTGTTAGGTCTTATAGGAACCGAGATAATTGAGCTCAAAGTGTAAAAACTGCAATAGAAGGGTCACTTGTATTTTTGACAGAATTTATCTCGGTTCCTGTAAAAGATGTCAAAAAGTGATCAACTGATAAAATGTTGGTGATAATATGATTTATCAGTTGACAAAATTTTGATAGGTCATATAGAAACCGAGATAATTGATCTTCTCTCCAGATGCCACAACGGATCGTGTCGACTACGTTGTCTCCAACTCGATCAACATCTGCGCGGCGATGTACGCCGCCGTCGGTGTCTTCGGCTACGTGGCATTCTACTCCCACGAACTCCATGGAGACGTGCTCGTACAATTCCCGCCAACCATCGTCACCCAATCACTGAAACTAGCCTTCTTACTTTCAATAGCAGTCTCAATACCGCTTATGATGTTCCCGGCGAGAACCGCACTGTTTTGCTTGATTTTGAGAGATGTAGGGGGAATTTCGGTTTGGCGGGAAGTCAAAAGTTTCAATTTCAGAAAGACAGTATCCATCATACGGTAGACCTCGAGAAGTTCACATTCCATCTGCTCACTGCTGTCATTTTGATATTCAATACGGTGCTCGCCATTTTGACGCCTAATGTGGAATTTATTTTGGGTAAGGATTGGTGGAAGAGGATTTTCTAGGCCAGCAAAGTCATTTTTTCCATTTTCAGGCCGAATCATCATAGTGGCCTGAAAACTCAACTTGCGAAAGTTAGGCCACCAGGTTAAATTAGCTTAACATGCCCCTGGTGTGTTTTCTAGGCCATTTCTACTTGATGGTCTAACTTTTGCAAGTGAGGTTTTCTAGGCCACCATGATGAAATGACCTAGAATTGGCCTTATGTTCACCTGGTGTGTGTGTTATAGGTAGGGATTACAACATTTTTTTCAAACAGCTTTTTTCCAAAATCTTTTTATTTTATAATAATCTCCTTTTCCTAATTAGCATATTTCCAAATTTTCGTTCAAAAATATTCACTCATTCCCGAGTTACAGCTCATTTTGTGCTCCTCATTTCCTCCATTTTCGCCCCCAGCATTGCGTGCACGCGGAAAAGTGGGCGGGGCGACGACAGCGCAAGGCTGCCGCGCGGAAGAAATGAACGGTTTTCTCAAGAGATTTTCTGCTGAAATTTAGGTTTCAGAGGACTGAAATAGTATAAAAACTTGTCGGAAAGTGTGGAAAAAGGGGTTTTGAATGTGTTTAGTGTGATAACAAACCTAATTTTACGAATTTTACCAGAACACCAAACGCGCACCTCAGCTGTCAGCGCATTGTTTTCTTATAACACCGCCACACGCGCGCTCCTAGAAAAATTATTTTTTCGACGGCATTCGGGAAATTTCAAGACAAAACTGCTTCGCATTTTCCTGCGCTAACTCGCTGGAATATGTCACAGATATCATCTTATGTGAAATTTTTTGTAAGAATCTGAATATATGAATAACGAAAGTGATACAAATCTCTATTCATGCTAAATTTGAGAAAAACCAAAAAAATCATTAAGTATGCCATCTTCCGACCGGAAATAAACTCTTTTCTAATCATCCAATTTTGTTCAAAAGTTGTATATGTAATGTTGAAGAGTAGTATTATCTATAAAAAACATAATTTTTATGTGTTGCCGCAGAAAATTTTTCACAATATTTACAGCCAGTTTGGCTGAAATGTGCAATTCTGCGCTAACTCCTCACAAGATTTCACTTTAATTTTCCATTAGAGAATGTCTTCAGTTACTCGAAACAGCAAAAACGGAAAATGATACAAACTCCGATTTCTTTTACCATTCATTTTTCTGACGCCCACTTCGGTTTTTCGCTTTTTTCTTTTCTCTTGTAGATTTTTCAGTAAAAACAATTACATTTTCGAAATCTACGTAGTCGATTACATAAGGAGACAAATTTTCATATTGAAATATCTCTTCTAGCCATAGTTACAGCCAATCAAACAGCCGAAACGACCCTAGGGGGAAAAATAATTAGGCTCCGCCCCTTTTTCTGTGGTCACTAGTTATAGGTCATGGTGGCCTAACTTTTGCAAGTTGAGGCCACCATGGTGAAATGGCCTAGGAAACCCACCGGGTTAATAGCTGGTTATTTCTAGGCCATAATAGTTAGTGGCCTAGAAAATTGCAAAAGTTAGGCCACCACGTCAAAATGACCGGGAAAACGCAACAAGGGAAAGTGATGGTGGCCGCGGCCTAGAAAATCGACGATTTCATTTTTTCCAGGTCTGACTGGAGCATTCATCGGCTCGCTAGTCTCCACGATCCTTCCATCCACCATCTACATCGCGAATCAATCATCTGAAACTCAAAATCGCGCAAGAAAAGTGGGCGGAGCCTCGACGTCAACCGCGAAAATGTGCCTAATTATTGGACTATTCATTTTGATTGCCTCCACGTGTGCTATTCTAATGGCTGAAAAGAAGACGTCAGTTGTGGAGAAGCCGAAAGCCAAAGATGACGTGGCATCTGGAGAGCTGAGAAATGAGGAATTGAAGAGTTTGGAGAGTCTCGAGGAGAAGGTTCTAGATGCCAATTTGAATATATCGGCGTAGGATTTTCAACAAAAAAAATCCAAAAATTGAAAAAATTGGTTTTTTTCCAGAAACTCGACGATATATCAGAACTGGCGGCGAAGGGCAACGACACAGAAGCGGTGAAGATGTTGGTGGAAATGAAGGAGCAGCAGAAAATCCAGCAGGAACTCATTGAGAAACAGGAGAAGATCGTTGCTCAGCTCAATCGGAAAACTGAGAGTCTGGGTCAGTGATGGGAGGAAACGCATTTTTCCGAAATACGGAAAACGGAAACGGAATCGTTAATTTTTATTCCGCGGAAAACGGAAACGGAAAAAAATCTTCAAAAATGGGGCGAAAACCGGAAACGGAAACGGAAATTTCTATTTTTCGTCTATTTTTAAGTTTAAAAACCATATTTGCATCACTTTCCATGCTTTTTTTTGCAAGCCAGTTTCAGTTTGATGTTTTCGTTGTTTTTTACATTTATTTCCGTTTCCGCTGTAAAAAAAATGGCGGTTTTTGCGGAAAACGGAAACAGAAATGAAATTTCACTTTTACGGAAACGGAAAAGGAAACGGAATCTTAAATTTTTTTTCCCAGAAAAATGGGGTTTTTCAATTTCTAAAAAATTCAAATTCCCGCCAAAATGTTCCTTCCAAAAATCCGATTATTCGAATTTGCAAATATTTCAAATTTGCGCCATTTTCTACTAAATTGGATTTTTCAGCCAATCAAACCCTGGAAGACCCCACAGCGCCGATCAGTCCAGCAATTCCAGCGGTTCCAGAAAAATCAGCGGAATTCAAGAATTATCCTCCAACATCGAAGCCAAGTGTGAACACGGAAACTTGATTATTTAATCGATTTTTCTGATTTTTTGTCGTTTTGGGTCGCCCGGGTAACTTCTGATTAGTATTATCAATTCCCCCTTTTATTTTTTGCCTTCTTTGAATTCCACGTTCCATTTTATAAATGTGTGTGTTTTAAGCTCAAAGCATTTCTTTTCGGTTGTTTTTTTCTTTCCCATTCCTATTTGAACTGTCCTCCCCTGTTTTTTTCTCATGTCAAACCTTTTTTTCATGTCAAAAATGTGATTTTTCATTCTAAACGAATTACTAATAATTTGCCCCGCCCGCTAAGTTTTCCCGAAAATGTGAAGTTTTGAAGTTCTGAAAAGCATAGATTTTTTAGATTCTTGCTGACTATGCTTGTAAAAATTTGCGTTAAAAAAACTTCCAAATTTATAGCATGGTCCTAGGAGCTTTTAAATAAGGAATCATTAACCTTGCCCCCGATAACTGGCTGAAATTGGCTCAAAAAACTTTCGGGGGGCGTCTAGATAAATCTACAGTAGCCTGAGGCTACATTTATATTCATTTGCCAGGACTTCATGTCCTAGAAATGCAAAAGTTCGGCCATCATCAAAACTTGGAGTACAGAATGAAAAGGTTTACCTGAATTTATTGAAAATAAAAAATAATAATGAGCAGATGAGTTAAGGAATTGTACCCTGAAAAGTTTGGATACTGTAGCTTGGATGCCTTGAAATACGAACAATAATGCAGAGGAATTAAATCAACGGGTCAAAAGGAGAGCCAAAAATAAAGAAACGGAAAACACAAGGAATAGAATTGGCATGAGATGAATAGGGGAACAAAAATAACTAATACATTAGGGAGCTTGAAATTTGTAGTTGGCTCCCATCTGTAGATTTGAAACTATTCCACCATTTCCAAAAACTCGTCCTCCGTCTTATCCCAAACTCCAAAATAGAACTTCTTCCCTTGAACGAGAACAGATGCCACATGACCATCTGATACTCTAACCACATATGTATAACTGGTGATTGGCTCCGTATTTGGCTTGTTATCCTTCTCAATGTGTCTGAAAAAAGAACTACCGTAACCCCTTCAATAGGTCCCCTAGCGTGGAGCCAGATTATCTCGGTTTCTGTGAAAGAAATCAAAAAATGTTCTACTGATAAGTTGTTGATTCTAAAATCTTTGACATTTTATCAATTGAGAGATTTTGATATATGTTGAAGGAACCGATATAACTGCGCTCAAAGTTCACTTATAGAGAGGTATTCTATTAGAGCAAGTCGACATTTCAAACGAAGGAAGCGTTAAAAAATAACAATTCAAAATAGCTTACATTTTAGGCACAATATGGGTTGGTGGTGTCTTCGCTGGATCAATCCGTCTTACTCCAATATGACTTAATATTGGGTCGTAAGAGAACTCAACCGCCAAAGTTGATTCAATTTGCAAGTACTCCAATCTCGACACATCTTCTCTTTTCCATCGATTTACAAAATCGACAATTTCAAAAGTTGCTCCAGCACCATATCTTAAGAATGCCTGTCGTCCTTGAAAACAATGTAAAACATCAGGTGCATTCGGATTACGTTGATCGATTTTAATCGATTCAGTCTGATAGAGTTTCGATTGCGGACTGAATTGACTTGTTTGCGGTTCATAGAATAGATCATCGAATAGATAAATCCGTTTGAAAACTGGAGACCAGGCGAAAAAGTGTTCAAGACTTTTTATGTCGCCATGACGATAGTACCATATACTGCATGTTGAGATGTTTTGCAGTTGTGGGATAATAAAATAGTCGGATTTCCAGCCATACTTTGCTTCGAAATGATACTCCACAGAATCGCCGAAGAAGTCCAGAAAGTGATCATGAAGAGATTTGATAACATATACTTTGTCATGCGGCTGACAATAGGTCACGGGACACTGGTATTGGTCGCAGTATCTGAAAAATGCCACTGCAAGCGTTGAAAGGGGTGTAGGAATTTAATGGAATTTATAAATCAATTTTTTGGTTTATTTTATGCAGGAAATCATGTAGATTTTTTCCACAAAACTTCGAATTTCAAAAAATTTCCAAAAATTAAAAAACCTATTTTCCAATATTTCAGAATTCCAAAAAAAATTTCAAAAAAAAATCAAAATTTTCTAAAAATTCCAGAAAATTCAAAATTTCAAAATAAGTCCAAAATTTGTATTTTTGACTTTTTCTAAGCTTTGGTAATTTATAGAAGAAATTTTATAAAATTAAAAATTTAAAGTTTTGATTTTTCTAGTTTTGGAAATTTCAATTGAATTCCAAAAATTTTCACATTTTTAAATTTTCTAAAATTCCAAAATTTTCTGAAAGGCATCGAATTTTCAAAAAAAAAACTCAAAAATTTCGAAATTTCTTAAATTCCCGAAAATTTCAGAGAATTCAAATTTTCAAAAATTCAAAAATTCAAATTTTCAAAAAATCCCAAAAATTGGATTTTTGATTTTTTTTTTCAGTTTTGGAATCTTCTATAAATCTTCTAAAAGTCCTACTAAATTAAAAAAGGTTTTAAAAAATCCGAAATTCGAAAAACTTCTAATTTTTAAAAATTTCAAAAATTAAATTTTTGATATTTTCATAGTTTTGGAAACTTGTAAAAGTTTTCTAAAAATCCCAAAACTTTGAAAAATCCAAATTTTCAAAAATTCTAAATACCGTAAAACCTGTATTAGAAGGGCCGGCCCTTCTATTGTTCCAGGGTACATCCGGAGGGACCTTCTACTACAGGAGCCATTTAATTAGAGGGGGACGCTTCTATTTTTCCGGCCAGTTTTTTATGAGATTTTGCATCGAAAAATTCGACGAAATGTGTTCAAAATTCATGACAATTTGTCAATTGTCCTAAAAATTAGCAAGATTTTTATCTAAAATAGAGTTTCAACAAATTTCTATAAAATTGTGGAGTCGCAGAATATTTTCCACTGAAAAAATACGGAAATTTTCTGATTTCAGAACACATTTTGAAGGGGTGTCCTTTTTCACAGAGGGCCCTTCTATTACGGGAGCCCTTCTATTACAGGGGGGCCCTTCTATTTTTCCAAGCCCCTCTCGGAGGGCCCTTCTATTAAAGGGGCCCTTCTATTAGAGGAGCCCTACTATTAAAGGGGCCCTTCTAATACAGGTTTTACGGTATTCCAAAAATTTCTGAAAATTCAAAATTGCAAACATTTTTAACTCTCTAATATTTTTTCGAATTTTTCTTTGTTTTCATGTAAATCTACATGATTTTCAGCACAAAACCACCTTCAATTTTATAATTCATAGTCCAAACTCACCGAAAATCAATCATCTTTCCAGATATATTCAACTGGAAATAATCATTTATGTTCTTGTCCAATTTGTCAATTTTCACAATTTTTTCCGAACTGGATTTGTAGTAAATATACACCAATGGTTGTCCCCTTGGATTACATTCATATCGAATAGAATCAATCTTTTCGAATCTTGCGATTTGATACGATTTGATGAGTTTCTTCATATTTTTAGAGATAAAGGACATCATAAATATTTCAGAATAGTTCATACTGTGGAGTATCTCAATAAGAACCAAATGTGGATATTTGAATATTTTCATTTTTTTTAGTAGTTCTGAAAATAGTGAAGCTTGTAAGAATCGACGTGCATTTGAATACGGTAGTAAAAAAGTTCGGGGAAAATAAGGAAAAAACACAGTGTCTTCCAATAAAGATCAGAAAAACGAGAAAAGAAGAAAATCAATAAGAAACAAGGAACATCAAATGTGGCAGATGTTCTAGAGAGTCCTACGGGAAGGTTAATGCCTAGACTAGTCATCCCACTGTCCTACTAATGAGGATAGCCGCTGCTGGCCCTGGCCGGGACCAAGTCCTAATTAAAGGTGGATTAGATGAATAGGGATGTCTTCTTGACCCAGGTGAGAGCACAAAAATGAGATACTGTAACCAAGCAGGAAGAAGAACTGGTCCCTTGGGTAGCATTCTAGGTGATATGCCAATATTCTGCCATCGGCCATGCAATCAGACGTTTTTCGTGGTTTTTGAATTCATGAACATTTAGGATTTTTTATAAAGTATTGGTATTTATCATCATATGAGATTTCAATTAGTTTTTCAAAGTTGACATGGCCCCATCGTTAGTCTAATTTGCAATTAGAGAAAATGGAAGCATTCAGGCAACAATAAAAATAGTGATTTAGAAGCAATTTATTTGGTGCTTGTAGAAAACTGATTGAAAAATAAAGAAATATTTTTAAAAAATTGGAACAAGATTTAAACAAAAAAGAGGAATTTTTCAGGAAACTTTCATATTCGGACTATTCCATCATCCTTAAAAACTCCTCCTCTGTTTGATACCATACTCCAAAATGCACCAATCTCGCAAAAATCCTAATCGATGCCACACGATTATCTGAATCCCTCACGACATATGTGTGGCTTGTGAACGAATACGTACTTGGCCGGTTTTCACTTAGAGTGAGCCTGAGAAATGATTGATCATTACTACAGAGATATCCTAAAAGAATAACTACCGAAAACACTCCACCTGACAACATTCAGGTAACTTGTGGATACCATACCTCCAAAAGCCAGCTGGCCGCGAATCAAAGTATTTTTTCAGTCCAGATTTTATCTCATGTACAGTATTGAACTATTTCCCTCCAGATAACGGTGCAAATCTCCTAATAACCAATAATAACAGGGTCAAATCAGGAGTTCGAGGGGGCGTAGAGAAGAAGAACCGTTAAGCTGAAGCGGCCCAGGTCTTAATTGACTTTCCGTGGAACATAGGATCTCGCGTTATTTAAGGAAAGTCAATTCAGTCCTCAGCCGCTTTGGATGGACGGCTCTCTACGTTCCTTAAACTTCAGACTTGACCCTTTCATTATTGGTTATTCGGAGATATGCAACGTCATCTGGCGAGAATTAGTTCTACACTGTTGATGAGATAAACACTGCACTTTAGAAATACTTTGAGTCGCGGCCAGCTGGCTTTTGGAGGGATGGCATCCACAAGTTACCTGAATGTTGTCTGAATGTGGTAGACCACGACGGTGCATACTGTCAATCTTGGATAATTCTTGTTTTTGTGTTATTCACGAATGAAAAAAAAGGTCCTCTATTAGAGTGCTTACGGTACTTATGAAAATATTCAAAAAAAAAGACTTATTACTCTCGTCCGAAATCAATGCACGTTGCGGCCGGGAAAACACCGGTGGGCGGAGCTTATTTCCGGCAGTGAAATTAAAGGCGCAAATTAAAGGAGCATACCGATTCACGGGGAGGATTTAAGGGGCCGATTATTTTCGTAATTATTTCCTGACCGATTTTCATGGTTTTTTCGATGAATTTTGTCGATTTTTCTATAAATTTCACTGTTTTAATGCGATTTTTCTGCGATTTGTCGGATTTTTGCGGAGAAAGTGTTCAAAATTTCAGTCAAAGTGCCCTTTTTACTCTATTTTCGGCAAATAAACCAATGCTTTTAATCTTCGTCATGTTTTCTCTATTTTTGAATATTTTCCCTGTGTTTATCTTCTAAAAATACTCTTTTCAGGTGCCAGCTGTCGTAAACAAGGAGAACGATGAATGAATCGATAGGGCGACGTCGAAGAATAGCGGTTAGATTGGCATTGAGCATCTAAATTCTTCTCCGATGCACTTTTTCAGGTTCTTCTCTCGTCGATCGATCATCTTCTTGTCTTCTTAATATCGATGAATTTCCGAAGCGAGAAAGGAAAGAAATGATGAATTACAAGATTTTGAGAGAAATTCGATGGAAGAAAGTGGAGAGATGTTTCGATGCGACATAAGAAAGCTGTTTTGGATCGATTTTTGCGGTTAGATTGGAATTGAGCATCTAAATACTTCTCCGCCTAAAGTTTTCAGGTTCTTCGACAACTACATCGGTCATCGGTCATTATTTTACTGGAGGAACGAGGAGAGAAAAGAAGAAGAAATGTTAAATTTTTGCGGAAATAAAATGGATAAACGTATATTTTATAAATGCAACTGGAAACCCTAGAAGTCATCATAATCTGAGTCTGACTCTTCATCTTGTTCGAGAAGGAGTCGGATGCCGTTCTCAATCTCAACAACGTGTTCATATGTCCATGCGATGTCGGACTCGCTTTTGTTCTTGAGAAATTGGATGGCGCGTTCGCGGACTATTTGTTGGAACACTTTTCTTCCTCCTCTCGTTTCGATGAAGTTGTTGACTTCTTTCGACAGTTCGTCCTTGTTGGCAACGATGTCACGATTCGACGCGACAGTTGAGTCGACACGACACGAGTCGATACAAGTTGACTCTGTGTCGATTTTTCAGATATTTTTCACTTGTGCCGATAAGACTCATGATTAGAAATACAAAACACATTGTACTATGTATGTTTTATTACAACAAACAAAAGAATGAGTTAAGAAATGAAAATTGGCAATAAACACTAGGTTGAGATCCACTGACTCCAGAACAGACCCTGAAAAAAGAAGATTGTGGTTTTTAGAACATTTGCATACGACTCACTTCACAATTGTTAAGTTTGGTTGGCAGCTGTAGTTGAAGAACCGCGTGAAGTTGTCTTTCTCTATCGATAATCATATCCGAGTGGTATGCTTTCTGAAAAAGCGAATTTCACAGTATTTTTGATTGCTATTGTTCTCACCCTCAGATATCGTACATACTCCTTTGATTTCAGCAACTTAGTCACCTGTTTGATGCTATTTTTGTTGGTCGCGGTATATGAATACCGCACATTGATGGTACCAGCTTTCAGACCATTTGCAGTCAAAGGCCCACATAACGTCCCGACGAACGTAGCAATGAACTCGCCTGTAACTGGAACTATAAAAATCAACAATCTCTCACTGGCTTGTTACCTTTCTGAATTTGGCGCTTGGCTACACAACAATACCAATGTCCAGTCGTTTTCTCGTCACCTTGACGTTTTCGTTGTGGTCTTTCTTAGCTTTAACGACGCTATTGAGCGAACAACCGGTGCATTCGCATCTGAAACACAATTCTCAAATTGATCACTATTAATACTTTTTGTATATTTCTGAATTCCTTATTTCTTGAGAAACAATTTGGTCCAGGAACCATTTTCATAGCTCTTCTAGGAGCCGAGATACAGGTTAAGGAGGCTAGAGGCGCAGACAACGAGACACACTGTCTGCGCTTCTTCTAAACGGTATACCTCGGCTTCTAGATGAGCTAGAAGTGTGGTTTCTGGACCAAAATAAGGGAAAATCCTAAAAATTGTAGACAACCAATTGCTCACCTTTTTAATTCTCAGGAAAATCGATAGAAGGCTCCATTCATTTTTAGGTGCCTTTTAGAAGGAATAATAGTGAATTCTAGAAAAAATCAAAGAAATTCAGACACATACACACTGCGTCAGGGAAAAAGGGTATGAATGAAAGTAGGGAAAAGAAGAGAACTGTTGGATAGAGGTGAAGATGAGGGACAATATGATCAGGAGAGGGTGCTAGAGAAAGAGGGTAGGGGTTGGACCAGGTGGGGTTTGACCTGAAGACGTAGGCATATGGGATTAGCAATCCCAATTTCCCAGAGGAAAAATCTGTCAGACCGAAATAGACATAGGCAGGTCTGATGCACAACTGGAGGACTCTAATTCTGTGCTCTTTAGCAGCTGGATATCTAGATAGGAACATTTTTTAAAAAAATAATTTAGGAAATCTGAAATTAAATTAAAACAAATAACACATTTATTTAGTACTAATCGTTTATTGAGAAAGAACAATAATTAAAAAAAAGACTTTTTTCTTGCAGGATCGATCGGCTGATTTGAGAAGAGATATCTGAAAATTTATTGTGTTCTGATTAAATGTCTTTTTAAAGGAACTCACGCGTGCATTTCAAACGGAATGCGAGCCACAGTTTCCATGAAAAGATCATGCACCATATTGCCAAACTGGCGCTTTCCAATTAGACTTTGTACGAAGTCCTTCAACTTCCTAACAGTGTACCCATCAAGACTGGATACGACTTGCCAGATGGAGGTGGATCTTGGTCGGATAGACTTTCTGGCTGGAAATAGAAATAAAATGATTCTAAAGACTTGAACACCCCCTCTCCCCAGTACTAAATGCTCCAATAGAAGAACACCCACCCTACTTGAGCTAGTTTATCTCGGTTCCGGTAAAAGATATAAGGAATCAATCAACTGACAAAGTATTTCTCATAATATCACCGACATTTTATCAGTTTACCACTTTTTGATATCGCTTACAGGAAATGAGATATAAAGGTTCAAAGTACTGACGTTCTATTTGAAAGCATTGGAATGTACATTCGGAACTCGTCAGTAGCTTTACCATATTTTAGGAATTGCTCCAATCTCTTTTTCACTGCTCGTACCGTAATCCTCAAGGAGCAAAGAAACAAATCCATTGCCTCAATTTTCTCTAAATCCTCATCTGTCAAATTTGTGTCATCCGAAAGTTTTAGAGATTCAAAAATTGTTAATCCAGGAACCGATTCTCCAATTTCAATAAAATTCCCATGTCCCTTGATATCCAAAACTTTCAAATCTCTAGAATTGTCCAGCGTTTTCTGAACCCATGGTACCAAGTTTGGAGTCGGTTTCCAGCTTTGGATTCTGATATTTTTGCATTTTAGTGTCCAAGTTTCTAGCGGAGCAAAGCAGAGCTGAAAATAGTATTCATTTTTTATTCATTTTAAAAAACCTGAATAGAAAATTGGCACCTGTCGGACCCGAACCGATCACTTCAAATGGGAAAAAAAACTGTCAACATTGGCATGTTTTATCTCGGTTCCTATGTAAGTAAATTGACAAAATGTTTATCATATTATCAGTAACATTTTGTTAGTTGAACACTTTTTGATATCTTTTTTAGAAACCGAGATATGGCCGGCGGCGCGACGGCGTAGCTCAAGCTCCTGATACGACAGCACGCGCACTTTGACCCTAGTTGTCTCGAATACTGTAAAAGATATCAAAAAGTTGTCAACTAACAAAATATTAAAAATGTTATAACAGGCTGTCGAAATCTTTCTGTCAATTTTTGAATGTTTTTAACGTTTTTTTCAATGGGACAATGGAATTTCTAATTCGAATTATGAAAATTTTCGAAAACACCAAAATTCTGAAATTCAGAATTTTTCAAGATTGGAATGTTGTGAGATTCCAAAATCCCATGATTTTAAAATCGGAACATTTTGAGTTTCCGAAATTTTTAAAATCGGAATTTTCGAAATTCCGAACATCCCCGGTTGAATAGTCTTACAAGACCAGTTTCTTATAGTAAGGAAAACACAATTCCAATCTTCCAGGACAACTTTATCCAGAAGTACCAAATCTCCAACTATCGGATGTACCTAAAATTGACATTTCTTGACTCATTTTATATTCTAAGACATGGAATCTCCTAGGAACATACATAACAGATCGATTGCGTGCGTCTTGACACCACTTTGCTGCTCACTAGGAAACAATTACTAGAGGATTAGGAGGCCATTGCTCACCCAAACAGAGGTCACAACGACTGAACAGCGTATCTACTGTGTCATCTGCCACCACCGCCTCATCAGACGTCCTCCTTATTCATTATTATTTTCTTGACCTATTTATTCTTGTCCCTCTACAATTTCTAGAATAAACTATTCAAATATCCGTATCTGGTTCAAAATCAGATACTCGACAACATGGAATACTCGAATCTATTTCTGTTGTCCTTTCTCTCCAAAAAGATGAAGGATCTAATCAAAGCGTCCCAAGTAAACCGATTCAAAAGTGTCCGAAATATTAAATATAGCAGTCTTTGGGGCCAGCAAGTGGTTTATATTCCCTACAAAGAGGGTAGGAGAGATGTGATAATGTCATATGGATGGCATCTCAACGCCACAAGAAAACTATTTCAATTGAGGATATCTGGAGAGAGTGTTACTTTTCGGTCAGTTATCGAAACCTGTCATTATCTCAATTCTTATGCAAGATATTGAAAATGTGTCAACATACAAAACACTCATGATATTGTGATTCACAATTTATAAGTTGACAACTTTTTATATATTTCACGGGAACCGAGAAAAGAGAGCTCAATGTTGAAAGTCTATTATCACTAATCAATAACCAATATTTCAGAATGTGCAATCGAGAGAATCAATGCTTCCCCCTGGCAAATACAATGCATGGAAGCGAAGAAGCCATCATTGCTTTCCATAACCACCTTCTTGATTTATTCGGGACCACTGTGACATTTCTTTATGTAGGTAGCGATTACGACGTTATTCGACAACTCCGGAACGTCACAGCATGCGAGATCGGGATGGAATATCTCTTTACTCAAATGAGAACCCTCGAAAACTTTCTCACCGCATCTCCTGTTTTTAAATTTATTCATATTACTGCTAGAACGACAGAAGAGCAATTCAATCCGGAATCCAAGCTCTATCAGGCTGAATCGATTCAAATCGATCAACGGGACCACACCTTCCCAGCTATTTTACATCGTTATCAGGGAAGACAGGCAGTTTTAAGATGCACACATTGCAATCTTCATCATTTGATGGATTTTGTAAAAAAATGGAAATCAGGAGAGGGATTTCAGAATTTGGAATATCTTAAAATCAAAATTATCTGTAATGGCGTTCCCCAGCTTCAAATTTTCAATGAAATTGGAGCAAGATATATTGATGCGACAAAACAACCACCAGCACACAGTGTGCCCAGAGTGTAAGTATTATATTTTGATGGAATACAGTAATCACTTTGGTATAGTCTGCGTTGAGCCTATATATCTCAGTTCTTGTAAAAGATATCAAAAAGTAGTCAACTGATGAAATGTTTACCATATTATCAGCAACATTTCATTAGTTGATCACTTTTCGATATATTTTATAGGAAACAAGATAAACATGCCCAAAGTTAAAAGTCAAGGAAATTATAGAAAATTTTCCATAACTAGTTTCGTTTTGAAGCTGAAAACTGTATTTTTGCACTAATCGATAAAATATAAAATTTATGATAAGAATATGTTTAATTTTTCAAGCAAGTATAACATTTTATGCTCTTTCGATTAGTGCAAAAATACAGTTTTTATCTTCAAAACGAAACAAGTTATGGACAATTTTCTATAATTTCCTTGACTTTTAACTTTGGGCCTATTTATCTTGTTTTTTATGAATGATATCAAGAACTGGTCAACTAACAAAATACTTATCATGAAATTTCCAACATTTTATCAGTTGACAGATTTCTGATATCTTTCACAGGAAACCAGATAAATTAGTTCAAAGTTAGAAGACCATTCTACATATTAGAGTGATTACAGTAACTCCTTTTTCAGATACATCGAGTGTAATGACGATGAACAACCAAATACGGAGCCAATCATCAGTCACGCATATGTAGTTAGAGAATCAGATAATCGTGTGGCATCCGTTCTAATTCAAGCGAGGACGCTCAGTTTGGAGTTTGGGACAAAACGGAGGAGGAGTTTTTGAGAATGGTGGAACAGTTTGCGATTGACAAATTGACAAAGTTATGAAAGCCAGCTACACCGAAATTTCAAAATGTTTTTTTTTCATGCTAATTCCAGCCCTTCTCACTTTTCATTGCTTTAAAATCCTTAACTATTTTTCCAGCATTCAAAATGTGATTAATTTCTTTATATGCATTCCTTATATTAGTCGAAAACCGCATCAAATTTAGTCCCAGCCCGAAAGTCGATATTCGGTGTTTGCGTACTTTTGGCGCTACAGTATTGTCTATTCAAAATAATCGCGCGAGTGAACGAGCACGGTGTTTTTTTCCGGGACGTTTTTAAAAGTAATTTTGAATTCGCGCATTTTTTGATGGAATGCAGGCGTAGCGACTCGGCCGTTCAGTTTAATGCATGCGCGTCGATACTCAGCGCGCTCAACTACGGTATTCGCGTTAGAGAACATTTACTTTACGTCCTGAAAAAAACACCGTGAACGAGTAAAAAAACCTGCATCTCTACAGATTTGAGGATTCTCTACACGTTTTTTTACTCGTTCATTCGCGCGATTATTTTGAATGGACAATAGCCAGAAAATAACCGAAGAACTTCAAAATAACGATAGAAACTTCTAGTTTTTTGCTTTTTACTTCAAAATTTCGAAAAAATCAAAGTCTGCAAATTGCGATTTTGCAAGTGTCCGTGCTTGCGTACTTTCAAAACTACAGTAGCCCGAATAAACTTTTAAAAGTGTTCAAAATCAATTTTCCACATATTCAGCTCGTTTTTCGTGATTTTTTATTGTCCAATTCGAATTTCCCGCTATTTTTCCATACTATACCCAAGATTTCAGCCTTCTAGCTCTTTTTCGGTGTTTGCGTACTTTTGAAGCTACAGTAATCCTGTGGAGGGTGTAAACTGCAAAACTAGCAGAAATGAATAAAAAATTTGAATTTCCCGCTATCGATTTGGTCTAGATCCCAACTTTCAGCTCAAAATTCGATACTCGGTGTTTGCGTATTTTCAAACCTACAGTAGCCCAAAAACAACGAAAAATTCCATATTTAGTTTTTCACATATTTATCATGCGAAATTTTGAACAAATCAAAGTCTGCAAATCGCTGTTTTGCTAGTGTCCGTGTTTGCGTACTTTCAAAACTACAGTAGTCCGAAAAACTTTTTTTAAAAATTCAAATCAATTTATTTATATTTAGCTCGATTTTCGAGATTTTTCATTGTTAAATTCAAATTTCCCGCTATTTTTTCACCCTGAATACAAATGTTCAGCCTTCTAGCTCTCATTCGGTGTTTGCGTACTTTCGGAGGTACAGTAACCCGAAAATCTTTAAATTAACGCTAGAAACTTCTAGTTTTCTCCTTAAATTGTCTCTTGTCAAACTTCTGAAAATACTGGTTCAAATATAAAACGATTTATGTATATTTTAATTTTTAAATGTTTGGCCAAATGTTTTCATATCTGTGTAGTTAGGAATTAGAATTGGAATTAGAGCGCGTTTGCATTATCAAAAATAGTTGGGCGAGAGAGAAAAAATCACAGAAAAAAGCTCGATGTAGAAAAGAAAGAGAAGACAGAAAATGGATAGAAAAAAGAGAAGCGAGAGAGAAAGATATGATAAAAAAGAGTGTTAGAAGCGAGAGACGCAGAGAAAACGAGGAAATTCAAAAATTTTCTAATTAATAATAAAAAACTGTGTTGTAACAACAATACTACCAAGGGGGTCATTTTTTGAATTTTTCTTCAAAAAGTGGACCAAAAAGCAACAAAAACAATGTCTATTAGAGGCGAAAATGAGCGAAAAATGTGAGTAAAAAAGAGAGGCAAGTTGTCTAAAAAAGGAGATTTTCTTTCCGAGAAAATTAGAGAAAATATTAAATTCTGGCCAAATTTTGGTCTATTTTATCGATTAGTTCTGCTGAGCAATCGTCCGTCGTCTCCGGTGCCACGTCATCATCCATATAGTAGTGTACGATGCCGTTCTCGTCTTCCACGGCGCGCATGCTGAAAAATGGAAGAGTTTGCTACTGGTGGCCTAGGAATTCAATGAGCTAGGCCATGAGTTTACTACTGGTGGCCTAAGAATCCAAAAAAAACTAGGCCATCTTGTACCGGAATAGACTAGTGACCTAAAAACCGGAATTTTGATATTCTAGGCCACTAGACTCAAGATGGTGGATGTGGCCTAGGAATCCGAAAAACTAGGCCATGAGTTTACTACTGGTGGCCTAGGAATCCGAAAAAACTAGGCCATCTAGTACTGGAATGGACTAGCGATCTAGAAAACTGGAATTCGGGATTCTAGGCCACTAGACTCAAGATGATGGATGTGGCCTAGAGATCCAAAACTCAGCCACCCACATTTTCAGGACTTTTCTGACTTTTTTGTCAATTTTGGAAGGTTTTCACGTCTTTTCAAGCGATTCCTTGGCCGTAGCCTAGAAATCCGGAAAACTCGGCCACCTAGATTTTCAGCACTTTTCTCACCTCGTCTTCGCCTTCGTCCCGTCCTTCGACACCACACTCAGCACCTCCACAATATTCTCCTTTTCAGAAGACGTCGACGGTGGCGTCGGGCCTTCAGATCCGAACGATGGGAGGGTCGAACTTTTGCACGGTGGTCCCGACATGAATTGATCACACGTGGATTTCAGAACGGACATTTTTTGCCAGGCGAAACATTGGTCACACATGATATTCGTCACTTGTGATGCTGGTTTGAATTCCTGCAAAAAATAAAACTGAAAAATTGGCTGAAACTGGACAAAAATAGGCAAAAAATTACCCAAATGTAGGCTGAAATCATTCTGAAAATTAACTGAAAATTGCTCAAAATTTGACTGAAAATCGGTGAAATAAGCCAAAAAAAAAAACAAGCCAACGGTGTTCTGAAATGCCAAAATTGACCCAATTTGCACTAAAAATAGTCAAAACGCAACGGAGAATAGTGACGATATTGTCTGAAATTTTCAGCTTGAAAAACGCTGAAATAAGCCAAAAACAAGCTTAAAATGATCTGAAAAAATGAGCCAAAGCTAGCACCAATTTAGGTGTGAATTAATAATTTCTAGTCCGAAAATGATCTCAATTTAGACTGAAATTAGCTAAATATGGGCTTAAGTAAGTCGAAAATTTGATCAAAAGTAGGCTAAATTTCAGCTAGGTTCGGTCAAAAATAAGCTAGAAATATCTTGAATTTGGGCTGAAAATGGTTCAAAATTGCCTCAAAATAAGCCAAACCTGGGCTTAAACATTGGCTTAAAACAGGCGTAATTCAGGCTACAATCCGTCAAAAATAACCTAAAAATGGCCTAAATTTGGACTCAAATTCTTCAATTTTTAGGAAATTTTTAGTCTGGTTTGAGCCATTTTGAAGCAATGTTTCAGGCCGATTTCAGCTATTTTCAGCGATTTTGGCCTAATTTTCATGATTTTCAGCCAAATTTTACTCAATTTTCAGAATACTTTTCCATCCAAAAATCTCACCGAATCACATCCAATACACGTGAGCATCAACGAGCTCGCACTGAAACTCCGACTAATCCTCTTCCTGGAATCCGCCTGTGCGGTCCGTTGATTCTGTTGAAACCGCTGTTTGGCACTCTTCATGTACTCATTGATTATCTTATCCATGTACTGATGATGTGTCGGCAGCAATTCTGAAGCCAGCACACACGTGGAATTCATCCTCGCAATACAGTCGTCCGTATCGATTGATTTCTCTTTTGATCTACTTGTCGTCGAGATGCGGAACGTACGAAGCACATGTGTTCGAATCTCATTGATCAGTCTCCATTTCTCATGACGTCCTTGGGCGATTCCAGACGACGCCAGAGTCATTCCTTTCGCTGACGATGAATTCTGAATCTGCTGATTCTGAAGATCGTCTCCATACGTCGATGTGTCGCGTGGAAGTGTCAATGGATTACGGTGGTTTTGATTGTGGGCGTGTCCATTGTTGTTTCCATTCTCTGTCAGCTGAGCGTGTGCACTTCGGACACGGCGCGTGCTTCGGATCGAGCCACGGCGGATGTCGAGTCTGGAAGAATGGTGACTAGAAATTCGGAAAACTCGGTTATCTGAAATCGCATTTTTGAAATATACATTCAAAAAACGTCAGAAAAGCTGACCAAAAATCGATTTTTTGAATATGGAAGAGTTCGTTGTTGATGACCTAGAATTTTGAAAAACTCGGCCAGATGATTTTTTTCAACATAAGGGTCAATTTCGAGGGTCTCTAAACCCAGGCGATCTTCATAATGGCGTAGAAATTCAATAAACTAGGCCATATACACTTTCCTAGCTGAAAAGCTGGAAAAACCAATTCTTTGAAAATGGACGAGTTTTTTATTGGTGGCCTAGGAATCCAAAAACTCGGTCACCTAATTTTTAGGACATCAGAGGTTGATTTTTAAGACGTTTTTAGTAGTTTTCAAGCAAATTCCTGGTCATGGCCTAGAAATATGGAAAACTAGGCCATCAACAAAGAGCTTTTTATATGAGGCCCAGGAAATCGGAAAACTCGGCCATTTAGTACCAGAATGGAGCAAATCCGACTAGTGATCTAGAAAACCAAAATTTGGAATTCTAGCCCACCCGAGACGTGAGAACAAAACTGTCATTTTTTCCGACTTCCTGGTCGCGGCCTAGAAATCCAAAACTCGGCCACCTAATTTTTCAGCGCTATTTCTCAGTAAGGAGTAATTTTCAAGCCAATTTTCGACCATGGCCTAGAAATCCAAAACTCGGCCAGCTAAGTTTTATGACTTTTTCCATTCTAGGGGGTCTCTGCTCACCTTATAATATCCATATACTGGCTGATAAGCGCGAGTTTGTCGATTTGCGACATGTCACTCTGCTGAAAATCATTATTATCCAGCCGCGTCCAATCGAAATTCTCTCCCGGATCAACGGCAAAGTGCACTGGCAGCAGATTCCGATTCACATCGATTATTGGAATTATTTCTGAAAAAAAAACTGTTTTTCTGCGAAAAATCAAAAGTTGGCGTCAAATCTGATGCCAGGTCCGCAATTGCGTACCAAACATCGAATCTGACGACTTAGGATCATTTTGAGGTCGAAAAACCGATTTTGAGCTCATAATAAGTGCCAAAACTCACGTTTATTGTTAGTTTCCGTTCTCATGAGTACAAGTGGTGAAAAGTGGGCGGAGTCATAGCACAGGACGAGCGGAGATCGATGGCATTGAGATGGGCGGCACTCGAGGGGCAGGTAGATGCCACCGAACGCAACTGGTGATAGCTCTTCGCCTTTTGCGTTTCGGAGAATCTGAAATTTTGAATTTTAGGTTCGAAATTCAATTTTTGGGGTGAAATTCGGACCTTTTCGGTTTTATTTCAAGCCGATTTTTAGCCAATTATGGCTGAACTGGAAGTCAAAAATTCCTCCATTATTGGCTGAGTTTTAGGTCATTTTCGGGTAATTTTAAGCCGATTTTAAGCCCAATTTCATCCAAACCCATAACCTACCGTATCCGACACCACAACGATAGGCCGCTTCAGAACATGAGCCAGTGCGAAGACGTGGATCGCCTCGAGACTTTCGTAGATTTGGTCCGTCGAATTCGATCCGTTATCGTCTTGTTTCCGGGGCAACGGCGAGGAGAGACCCAGCACGACGTTCCACTCCAGCTGCCATTCGTTTTCAGACAGCGTTAGAGCCAGGTCGTTGCTCTGGAAAATTACAGGGTAGTTTGGAGGATTTTGAGCCAATTTTCAGCAATTTTCTGCCAATTTTTTTTCAAATTTGAGCTGAATTTGGCTGGAAATGGTGGAAAATAGGCTGAAAAAAACAACAAATTCAGCCATTTTTAAATCAATTTTTCAGCCAATTTTGGGTGATTTCCAGTCATTTCCAGCTCATTTCCTTATGATTATGACGACTTTTAGGCAAATTTTAGGCAAATTTCGGCTGTTTTTTTCCCGATTTTTCTCAGTTTTTGACAATTTTAAGCAATTTTCAGCTTTTCCCACTCATTTTTTCGTCAATTCTGACTATTTGTATATTTTTAGCCGTTTTTCAAGTCAAATTTTGTCGGATTTTGATCATTTTCAGCCAATTTTCGGCCAGCTTTTCATTATTTTCCTCTTCTAACTTTCAATCCTTGTAGCCATTTTCGCCATTTTTCAGTTACTTTTCAGCATTTTCAGCCATTTTCAAGCCAATTTTGGGTGATTTTCAGCCATTTCCAGCTCATTTTCCATTTGATTATCGCGACTTTTAGGCAAATTTCAGCCAAGTTTCAGCCGATTTTTAGCCAATTTTTTCTAACTTTTGACGATTTTAGCAGATTTTTAGACATTTTCCAGCACAATTTCTATTTAATAATGACGATTTTTAGAAATTTCCCAATTCATTTTTTTCTTCAATTTTGACAATTTTTGGTCAACGTTTGCCTTAGCTTGAGCCAATTTTCTTCCAATTTTTCAGCCAATTTTCTTCCAATTTTTCCGATTTTCAGTCAATTTTTTTTCTAATTTTCAGCCAATTTGAAGCCATTTTTAGGCTATTTTCAATCATTTTTCCTCTATTTTTTTTCCTATTTTTGACTATTTTCCGTGGGTTTCCAGTCATTTTTTCGTCAATTCTGACTATTTTTAGTATATTTTGAGCCATTTTCAAGTCAACGGCCATTTTTCTCTAATTTTGTGGATTTTCAGCCATTTTCAGCCACTTTTTATTGAAATTTCATCGAATTCGTTGTCAAAACCACTTCAATTTTAACGATTTTCAGCCATTTCCAATGATTTTTTTTCTAATTTTTTGTACCTGATTCAAATGGTGCTCCACCCATTTCCAACGCCTCCGAATTGCTTCTCGTCTGGCTCCGTTCGTTAGCAGCTCGTAGAGTGTCTCTCGAAGTGACAATTGACGATCATGAACGCCCCACATTCCTGAAAAATTCGATTTTTCAGTCATTTTTAGCCTATTTAAGGCCTTTCTGAGCCTATTTTGAACCGATTTTAGTCTATTTTCAGCCAATTTTTCGTACTTTTAGACTATTTTTAACCTATTTTCAGCCATTTTTAGCCTATTTTCAGCTATTTTTTGAGATTTCTAAGCCTTTTTTCAGCAATTTAGATTTGACAATTGCTCACCCAATGAAGCGGCATGCAACAGACAATTTCCATCCCCCGTCGTCGATAATGGGTACAGTTTTTGGCCGAATTGGTGCCACCAGTTGAGATGTCCTGAAATTTCAGATTTTTCGGTTTTTGATGACCTAGAAATCCGAAAAACCTCGGCCATCTATTTTTATAGCTGTTTAGGGGAATTCTAGACTAATAATGGCCTAGGAATCTTTGAAAAGACTCGGCCGCAAATGTTTTTTTTGAATGTTTCGGGTCATTTTTGAGTGGCGGCCTAGAAAACTAAGTGGTGGCCTAGAAATCCAAAAAACTCGGCCACATATCATTTTTGTGGAAAAATCGCCGTTTTGGTCATTTTTAGGCTATTTTAAGCGGTTTTTGAGCGTTTTTAAACTTATTTACGCTGTGTTAGGCCATTTTCGACCGATTTCAACTCAAAAAATATTCAAAAACTCACTCGAGGCTTCCAACCGTTTCTGTGTCTGCGTCTCGATTAGATCCTTCTCTAGAAACGTGCGAAACTCGTTGGGAAATCCGCCGAAATCCGGCAGATAGAATGCGAGACCATGAACGCGGAGACGGCTCGACAGACGCTCCAAATCGACGTCTTCTGAAATTTTGGTTTGGCGGGACGTTCAAATTTTTCAGAGGATTTTGTACCTTTCGATGTGCCTGGGACTAGCGTTTTGTCCTCTTGTTTTGAGACTCGGCGAGACGAAATTTGAATGTCCCAGTCGTTTTCTGGAAAGTCATATTTTTCAGAAATTGTTTTTGACTTCAAAATCACTACAATTCAACATTTCTAGATCAAAATTTCATGATTTTCTCGATTTTCCGCACCTTTCAACAGCTTCAGAGCGTCTTCATCGGATATATTGACCATTGTGCACAACTCTTTCACTTTGAGCTTCTCGCTCTCGGTCAACCCGTCCGGATACATTTCGACGATGATTTTTAAGCTAATTTTTTTTCAGAAATCGGCCATTTAGTAGTGTTATTACGAGTAGAGAGAGAGTTTGAAGGCGGTGGGACCTGGAAATTTTTTTTTTTTTGAAAAAATTGAAAATCGATGAGAAAACACATAATTTTCGGCAGAAAACGAACACTTAATGATGGAAAAACGGCGCAAAAAACAAGTATCCAACCCGTCAACAATGAGTCATCAGAAAGACATGATAGCGGGGTAAAATTGGGGGAGGAACTGGTTTTTGGGGCTAAAATAATGTTTAAAAAATTTATTTTGTTGTAAAAATCAAGAAAAAGCGAGAAAAAACGAATAAAATCGGCTGGAAAATGTTAATTTTTCCAGAAACAAAAATTTAAAAACAGCTAATTTGAAATCGTGGCGATGCCCAAGAAATAAATTTTAGGTCTGCGCCTTTAAATTACGGTAAGCATTTTATTATTTTTTGCTTCATTTTCAAGGAAAAATATCGTTTTTATGGAATAAAAATCTTAAAATTAGAAGGAATTATTTATTTTAAACTGAAAAAATGTTTAAAATTGTAAAATCGTAGAAAAAATCCAAGTTTGTATGCGAAAAAATAGTCTTCGAAACTCTAATAAAAAATATCTACAGTAGTTTAAAGGCGCATGCTCAAATATTGTATTTTTGGTTTCGCCACGAATAGTTTTCAAGACAATTTCTAACAGAATAAAAACAATTTTCAACACTGAAAAAGAAGAATTTCATGGAAATTTGATATCTCTTTTTTATTATAAAATCTAATGGAATCGGAGAATCAAAGTGACGAGACAAAAAAACCGGTTTTTTCGGAGGTCTGTTCCCGAGAAAAAGGGGAAGATAGAGAGATAGAAAAGAAAGAGATAGAGTATTTTATTTTAAAATGAAATATTTACGAAAAAAATGTGCAAATAATAGAGAATAGAGGAGTAGAAACAGAAAACACACCACCACCACAGCCACCGCAGAATTCCAAGCAGAGAGAGGGCTTTTCCAAGTGAGAGGGTGGTTAGAGAAGACAGAGAAAAAGCCTTCTCTGCGGTTGATGAAACATAAGGGGGCGGTTTCTGGGAGCGGGAAGAGAGGACACAGAAGCAGTTGGCATTGATCCAAGAAAAACGAGAGAGTGGTGTTTTGTGAAGAGACTGCTAGAGATAACGAGAGACGAAGCTGCGGCGGAGAGAGCGAGAGAAAAGGGAGAACAGGGGAGACGCAGACAGTTCGAAATGCGTGGCGTTCCGGCGCGACGCTGAATGTAGGTCGGGGAGAGGGGACATCCGGACGTACAGACAAACGGAAGATAAAAAGAAAAGACGCGCGAAATTTGAAAAAAAAATGAATTCTCGTTGAAAATTGAAGGAAATTCTAAATAGAACAGCGAAAAAAAAAAACAAACAGGCTTCGAAAAGCGAGAAGACTACGGTAGCTTAAAGGCGCATGCCGCAAAATCGTTCGTTTGATCTCGCAAAACCTAGTGTTTCTTTTTAGAAAAAATCTTTCCTGCTGATTTTCTTCATCTTTTCTTACCAATTCTTGATTTTTTTAAAAATTATTAGTTTATTAGCTACAAAATCACAGAAAAAAATAAGTTACAATAATAAACATTATTGGTGTGGGTCAGGAGGGGTTCGTGAAGGTTCGCGGTGGCCAGCCGCTGGTTCAGTTGACAACTTTTTGATATCTCTCACAGGAAATGAGATAAATTAACTCAAAGTTGTAAGTTAGTGGAAAGGGGGTGGGTCGTTCTATTAGAGTGTTTGAGATTCGCAGGTAGCAACTCTGCTTTTTTTTTAATTTAAAAAGTCCTGAAAAGATAAAAATAGTTTATTTCGCACATAAAACTTCGAAAAAGTCGGAATAAAATTATTCATCTCCATCGGCAATTGGGGCATCAAGATCGCTGTCAACTTGTAGAGAATACAGAGCCATTATGTAGACATACATTAGAGAAATCAGACGATAAGTGGCGTATTTTCGAAAACGACCAAACATAATTTTAAAGTGATTAGGTCGGAAATGGGAATATTTGAATGAATGTGGTTATGTTAAATGGGACAATGTGGAAATGGAAATTGTGAGAATTGGTGATAAGAGATCAAAAGAGACCGAGAAAAATATTTTTATGAGCCTTTAAAATAAGGGAGAGAATAGTTTCAGAACAGGTCATTTGACAGTTGACCTTTATTCAAGTTACGATAGTTTTGCATTAGAGCGCATTTTCTTCACAAAATCGAACTTGAACAAATATAGGCATGATTATGGTCATTTTGAAGCGCTAACCACGGTAAAACGAAACATCTAAATTTCACATGTTTTAGACAACAACTGAGAAAGTTATGGAGTCTTTTGCATTGGAGCGCCTTTTCTTCAAAAAATTAAGTTTGCTCAAAAGTAGACGTGATTAGGCTCATTTTGAAGCGCTAATCAAGGCAAAATTATGCAGATAGTTTTCACATGTTTTGAACAACTTCTAAGGAAGTTACGACAGTTTTGCATTGGAGCGCATTTTCTTCAGATAATCAATAATTTCCAAACGTAGGCGTAATTAGGCTTATTTTGAAGCACTAATCAAGCGAAGGCGATTGGTTTATTTTGCATGCGTTTTGATCAACTCCTAAGAAAGTTATGACAGTTTTGCATTAGAGCGCACTTTCTTCAAAAAATCGAGCTCGGCCAAATATAGGCATGATTAGTCTCATTTTGAAGCGCTTATCAAGGAAAAATTATTTATAAAGTTATCACATGTTTTGGACAACTTCTAAGGAAGTTATGGAGGATTTTGCATTAGAGCGCATTTTCTTCACAAAATCGAGCTCGGGCAAATAGGCATGATTAGGCTCATTTTGAAGTGCTGGTCAAGAAAAACGATTCATCCAGATTTAACATTTTATGAACAACTTCTAAGAATGTTATGACAGTTTTGCATTAGAGCGCATTTTCTTCAAAAACCGAATTTGACCAAACATAAGGGTGATTGGGCTCGTTTTGAAGCTCTAATCAAAAGAAATGTATTAATGAATTTTTTACTCAGTTTGGACTAAAAAGAATGAAGTTATGATAATTTTGCATTAGAGCGCACTTTCTTAAAAAAACCGAATTAGACCAAACATAAGAGTGATTAGGCTCGTTTTGAAGCTCGAATCAAAAGAAGTTTATTAATGAATTTTTGACTTAGTTTGAACTAAAAAGAACGAAGTTTTAACAGTTTTGCATTAGAGCGCATTTTCTTCGAAAAATTAGTTTTGCTCAGAAATAGGCGTGTTTAGGCTCATTTTAAAGCTTTCATCATTTCCAATCCAAACACGCCAAGTTCCTGCTATGAGCATGGAGCCAAGCAGTTGACATTTTGTATTTCAAACTTTTTTAAATGAGTAAGATGACGTTGCTTTAGTTCCGGAGTCATTAGTTGTTGGGTGTGTCTTATTTTATCAGTGAAAGTTTTTTCATAGAAAAAATGTATATAAACATGGGGAGAGAGGAAAAAAATGGTCAAAATTCGAATTGTGAAAAATTATGAAATTTTGAGAAATATTTAAATTTTTTTTGTTGATGTCTGGAAATTCCTAGATTTCTGAATACCCAGATTCTTCAAAATTTCTAAAATTCCAGTTTTTAGATATTCTATTTTCATTTAAGTTTCTCATTGTTGAGTTCTTCTTCATTGCGAAATGTTACATGTTGATTTTTCTAACTTCTCTGCGTCTCTTATCTCTCCTTTGAACATATTTTTCGATAACAAAACCCCATAACTGTCATATGTATTTTGCAATTTCAAAATGTTCCATTTTTTTCAAATTTCAATAAAAAAAATTTCAGTCTTAAAAATCAATGACTTGGCCAATTCTGACAGTCCGTTTGAAGCAGAAAGTGGTGGATTTATTGGATTATGAGTCGAGGTAAGCAAGTGTGCTCCATTGAGAACTTTTTTGGCAGTAGAGTGAACTCAGACTAATCACGCCTAGTTTTGATCAAGCGTAAGTACTATGAAAATGCGCTCTAATGCAAAAGACTCCATAACTTTATAAGAAGTACTCCAAAAATTTGAAAAATAGACCGATCGCTTTTTCTCAATCAGAGATTTAAAATGAGCCTAATCACGCCTACGTTTGCTTAACCTTTATTTTTTGAAGAAATTGCGCTCTAATGCAAAATTGTCATAATTTGCTTCTTTTTAGTTCAAACGAAGTGAATGATCTACCAATTTACTTTTCTTGACTAGTGCTTTAAAAAGAGCCTAATCACGCTTATGTTTGGTAGAATTCGATTTTTTGAAGAAAGTGCGCTCTAATGCAAAACTGTCATAACTTTCTTAAGAGTTGTTCAAAACTCATGAAAAAAATCGTTTTGTGATGATCTACGCTTCAAAATGACACTGATCACGCCTATGTTTGAAAAAACTTGATTTTTTGAAGAAAGTACGCTCCAGTGCAAAAAGACTCCATAATTTTCTTAGACGTAGTCCAAACATTTGAAAATTAAATCAATAGCTTTCTGCTAATTAGAGGTTCAAAATGAGCCTAATCACGCCTATGTTTGACAAAACTAGATTTTTTAAAGAAAGTACGCTCTAATGCAAAACTCTCATACCTTGCTTCTTTTTAGTCCAAACTAAGTGAAAAATTTAATAATCGATTTCTCTTGATTAGAGCTTCAAAACGAGCCTAATCATGTTCATAGTTGGCCCATCTCGGGTTTTTTGAAGAAAGTGCGCTCCAATGCAAAACTGTCATAACTTGCTTCATTTTAGTCCAAACAAAGTAAAATATCTACCAATCGATTTCTCTTGATTAGAGCTTCTAAATGAGCCTAATCATGCTTATTTTTGATTGTGGAATTCAAACAATTGTCAACGGAGCGCGTTTTAAAATATTCGAAAAATGCGAAAAAAAATTTTCCAGGTGCAACCTTCGAATCAGTTCAAAAGACGACCGAGATGTTGTGGATTCCACGAAATTTGTCCCAGAAAAATTCAAAATTACAGAAACTCCAAGTGATTTGTCTGAAGGGAAGGTTAGCGTTTTTTAGTATCGGAAATTGCGTCAAGGGAAGCTTGGCGCGTTTCGTGTGCTGTCTAAAAAACCGCACTTTTCAAGGTTTTCAGGGCCCTTTAAGGAACATTGATATCAAAAATCGAAAAAAACTATTTCTGAAAATTTTCAGTCAATAATCCGTTTGGAAATCGATTCATTTACAATTTGGTTGACTGGAAAAGATGATTTAACAAAAATCGATCGAGGATTCAATAGAGAAGTCGATGAAACTTTGAGTGAAATTAAACAAGAAAATCGAGTCGAAGTTTTCCAAAAATTATTGCTCAGATTTTCAAATAAGGGACTAATCAAGGCGGATACTGTGGAAATGGAGGGGGTAAGTGTACTGTACTTGATGTAGTTTGACACTCTGAAAATTCGAAATCAAAAATAATGGAAGGAGATATGGGCATATATGGTAATTTGTAAAAAAATAAAAATTAAATTTTTTTGAAATTTTTGTAAAATTCAAGTTTCCGTTTTTCAGATCAGATTTATGCCACCAGAAGACCTCAATTTCAAATGTTCCTCTCTGAAAATTGTAGCCGTTACAACTGATTATTCTGTCGAGTGGCTGAAAAGAATGGCGCCAAAATTGGAAAAATTCGAGAATCTGGATGTCGCGTGTTGGGGAGATGATACAGAACTAATGACGATTCACAGTCTTCTAGAAGTCTCGAAATCGCTGAAATTGGAGCACGAAAGTGGGATTACGGATGAGCAGTTGCAGGAAATCGAGGCAACAAATTTGAAGTTGTTCTCGGAAAGGATTACGGTAGATGGAGTGAGAAAGAGATTGGAGGTAAAAAGACAAGGAAATTATAGAAGATTCTAAATTTTCAGAAGTTCGGATATTCGGATATTCGGAAATTCTGAATTTCTGAATTTCTGAATTTCTGAATTTCTGAATCTCCGAATTTCTGAATGTCCGAATTCCTGCATTTCTGAATTTCTGAATTTCTGAGTTTTCGAAGTTCTGAACTTCTGAATTTCTGAGTTTTCGAAGTTCTGAACTTCTGAATTTCTGAATTTCCGAGTTTTCGAAGTTCTGAATTTCTGAATCTCTGAATTTCTGAATTTCTGAATTTCTGAATGTCCGAATTTCTGAATTTCTGAATTTCTGAATTTCTGAATCTATAGTTTTCCCAAATTTCCATATTTTCAGTACTTCCTAACCCATGGAAAAGCCACCGACAGTCTGGAAATCGCATTTTCGGTTCCTGAGAACTTTCAGCCAATTTCATTTTTTCCAAACAATCTGAGAATGAAAAAAATCACACTACGAGCTGAAGACGAGAATGGTTATTTGTGAGTTTTTCATAATTCTCAATGGAGCGAATTTTCTTTTTTTTCAGCGGAAAAATTCTCGGAGGATTCGAGAACATTCATGGAATTCGAGAGCCATGGAAAATCGAATTATTGTCGTTTGGAGGGAGAATGAGAATTTATTGTAAAATTTGGAAAAAATCCGAGAGACCATGTATTTTGTATCCGTTTTATTTTGGAAGAGAATAAATGATTTTTTTTTTGGGTTTTCTTTATTTTTTTTTTTTGATTTTTTTTGCGTACGCAGCATTTCATTTTACGACAAACGAGGCATTTAGTGAACAGTTTGTCGTAAAATACAATGCTGCGTATGCAAACACGTTGACGCGCAAATGCACGAAAACGGTCGATTGCCGGTCGCCGGCGTCGGTGGTCGGTCGGTCGGCTAAATTTCCCGACCGAATGGAAGCCTTATTTCAAAGAATCGGAATTTCTAGAACTTTTATAATTTTCAGATTTTTGGGGTTTCCAAAATTTCGAAAAATTTTGAAAATTTCACATTTTTCAAATTTTCGTAAAATTTCCGAATTTTCAGATTTTCTGAAATTATCAATTTTCGTAATTTTGAAATTAGCAAAATTTTCAAATTTTGTGGAATTTTCGAAATTTTTGGGTTTTTCAGAATTTTTAGATATTCAAACATTTCAGAGTTTCGAAAAACTTCGAAAATTTCAGATTTTTTAAATTTTCGAATTTTTAGCATTCTTGTAATTTCACAGAATTTCAGATTTTTAGAACTCAGAATTTTAGAATTTCTGAATTTTTTTTTTGATTTTTTGAATTTTCTGGAATTCTGAATTTTTGAATTTCTGAATTTCTGAATTTTTGAATTTTCTGAAATTCTGAGTTTCAGAATTTTAAAATTTTTCTGTATTTCTGAATTTTTTGATTTACTGAATTTCAGAATTTTTTGATTTACTGAATTTCCAAATTTCTGAATTTCAGAATTTCAAAATCTATGGAATTTTTAAAATTTTAAGATTTTTGGGATTTCCAGAATTTCGAAAAATTTTGAATTTTCAAAAAATCTAAACTTTCGGGTTTTCTGAGTTCATGAGTTCCTGAATTTCCGAATTTCTGAACTTTTGAATTTCTGAATTTCTGAGTTTTTGAAATTTTCAGATTTTTTCGATTTTTGGAATTTCAGAAATTCAAAACTTTTGAATTTTCAAGTTTTTGAGTTTCGAAATTCTGAACTTTGAATTTCCGGACTTCTGAATTTCTAGAATTTTTTCAGGGTTTTTTTCGAATTCTCGAAAAAATACCATTCTATCACTTTTGTTCTTCCCATTTCCCCCCAAACAAATGTCTACAGTATCCCTTTCTCTGCGTCTCTCTATCTCTCTCTCTATTTTTTAACTTTGATGTCAGCTACAGTAGTGACACATTCATTGCCTTCAAGAAACTTCTGTGTTGTTTCTTTCTCTTCTCTTTCTCTAACACTCTCCACAACTTTCCCACTCTCTCCGCTCCACAACAACAACGGCACGCTCGTTTCTCTAACCACTCTCTCTCTCTCTCTCTCTTTTGCTGGAGAACACTCCCTCTGTCATGTAGCTGACCTCTGTCTTTCAAAATGTTCTTGCTAAGCCTAAATACGCTCCACCGAACACCAGAACACCTTCTCCCTCATGCCTAAATTATTCCTGCTGTATCCACTGAGTCGCTGCGCAGCGAAATGTGTTGTTTTTTGGCGCGAAAGACTCACTTTTCTATCTTGCTGTGTCCAATAGGTCGCTGCCCAGCGAAAATTGTTTGTTTTGTTGTTTTTTTGGCATACGCCTTTAAACAAACCCTCCCAGATTTTAGTGGTTCTCCGGGTTTCTGTACCTCATAACATTCTTCAAAATCGGAATTCTTTGAAAATTCAAAAAGGAGTTCATAACATTGTTCAAGAGCTACAAGATAATATAAAATCTATATATTTTGCAATACCCTGGTTCTTGCTCATGCGTCTTTAAAAACTCCTCCTCCATTCCTTTAAAAGTATTCATTTTATAACTTTTTTTAAAATCGGATTTTTTTGATAATTCAAATTGGAGAACATCGAATCCTTTTAAAAATCTAAATATTTCTAGACTTTTTGTATCTTTATTTCTTTTATAAGCTCCGCCCCCTAAGTGATCATAAAACGAACAGCCGGCACCAGTGGAAATCAATTAACTTCAAATGTCTAAAAAAGTATCTAGAACTTGCTCGATTTGTCTGAAAATTTCTGACGACATTAAACAAAAATAGAACTTCAATTTAGTAGTTGACAACTTTTTTGGGCAAACGCGCCGTAACGAGATATGCCACGTGGAAGCGCACCTTCGCGGCAACATGGAGAGGGCTTGGAAAAGCAGACGTATCTCGTTAGGGCGCGATTGCACAGAAAAGGTGTCAACTACAAAAACAAAGCTCTAGATTTTTTTTAGTGTACTCTCAAATTTTCAAACAAATCCAACTAGTTCTAGATACTTTTTTGTAGACTCAAATTTGACTATTTTCCGCTGAAAATTTTTAACCTCGATTTTTTGTTTGTCCTGTATCTCAGCTCTCTATGTTCCTAAAGAGTTGACTCCTTCACCAAATATTCTACTCTTTCAGATATCCAATAAAAACTCAAAATGGATGATGATGTGTCCCTTGCAATAGACAAGGAAATTGACAGAATGGTTGAGCAAGGAATTATCCAACATCGCACCGTTGAACGGGCGATGCGTCTTGTTCATCGACGAGAGTTCGTGCCAGGACATCAACGCCGACAAATTCTTCAACATCCGTTTGGAGTTCATCATCGCGGCGGAAGAGTTCTAATACACCTGTCACATATAGATATCTACTGCAAAGTTGCCGAATATCTGAGAATCGAGAAAGGAATGAAGGTGCTCAATGTCGGAAGTGGAACTGGATTCTTCAGTACGGTTCTTGGAGTTCTTCTTGGTGAGTTCAAGCCTTGCTAGCCGGTACATCATCGAATTACCAAAATTTCAAAAAATTTCGATGTTTGGTAACGGAAATACAGAATCAACGCAATGTCTTAACTTCAAAGGCATCATGTTTTATAGATGAGCTAGAAACTTCAAACTTGCATACAGTATACAACTATTCTTCAGGGGACCAAGGGACAAATCATGGTCTCGAAGTCCACCCCACACTGATAGAGTTTGCTGAAAAACGGGTGCATAAATGGGTGCAAAAAACGTCTTCTACTGCTGTGGGATTCAGTCGACCCGTATTCAAACCGGGAGATTTCAATGATCCGGAACTATATAGAAAACACTTAGAAATGTACGACCGAATCTACATTTCATTTGTCAACCACGACCTGGATTGTCTCCGTCGAGCATTGTGTATGCTGAAGATCAACGGCATCTTGATTGCACCGATGAATGGATGGGTGAGAGTTTTTGGCAAGTGCGCCCTATTGAACCAAGTTTTTTGTTTTCAGTTGTGCCGATATACACGCACTACTGCGACGAATGCGAATTGCGAGTTTCTGGAGAGAATGAGCTTTGCGAGCGGTTTTTTGATGCCCGATGGGAAGCGTCCACCGACACCGCAGTTTGATAGGTAAGAGATTTCACAAGCTAGAGTTAGGGGACTTGTTTTGTCTAAAGCCTGTAAGCTTGTAGGATGAGCGCTCTAGTACAGTGCTGCCCAACGCTTCAGCTTTGAGCCTATATATCTCGGTTTCTGTGAAAGATACAAAAAAGTGGTCAACTAACAAAATGTTTATCATAATATAAGAAATGTTTAATCAGTTAACAAATTTTCAATATCTCTCATACAAACCGAGATATACAAACGCAAAGTTAAAAGCAACCGCTTTTCCTCGAAGCCCACACACATCGTTAACTTTGAGCTACATTATTTCAATTTCTTTAGAAGATATCAAAAAGTTGTCAACTAACAAACTACTTCTCATAATATCAACAATATTTTATCAGTTCACCACTTTTTGATATCTTTCACAGGAACCGAGATATGCAGGCTCAAAGTTGACGGTTTAGATGACACATGTGTTTACGGTGAGGGCATTGCTTGTTTTCTAGGTCAGCCGGATCTCTGAAGTTCAACGGCATTTTAAAAGAAATTTACTGTAGCATTTGAAAAGACCAATTTTTGAAGTACTGTATCACAGCCACCCATTAGTAGGACCTGACGCCTAAACTTTAAAGACTCGTATCTCAGTCACCTGTGAACCGAGAAAATTTAAATTTTCAAAAATTATGAAATTATGTATAAAATACAAGCATGCTAATTTCCCTAGGCACGTCATCAATAAGAATTGGATTATAGAAGTTAACCCAACGCACCCCATCAAACATCACTCCTAAAAACGTAAATTTTTCAGAATCGCCCCACTCTCCATCCTATGTCGCCAAGCACTTCGCACAAAGGTCCGATCGGAAATCTACAGTCATCTTGTCATGACCCGAATCAACGCCTCTCTCCTAGTCCCGATCGGTGGTGTACCTGATAAATCTGACGATGAAGACGAAGGGCGACCACTTCCAACGCTGGACGCTGTGATGAACGAATACCTGCATCGAGACGAGGGACCATCAACATCGGGACCACCTCCACAAGTGATTCCGCCAGCGCCCACCCCTACGAGAAGAATTCGAGAGCTGACTACGACAATGAATAGTGAGAATTCTGATGCGGAGCTTCAACATCAAGTATGGGCGGAGCTTCTGACAAATCGAGATCGAGCAGTACGGATTCGAGCAGCTAATGCTCTCGGAGCACTTCATGGAGCACATCTCCCCGATGCACTTCGAGAAGCCATTGAGGGTGTGGAGAGCGACGAAAATAGGGATCAGAGATGCGTTCGATATATCGAACAAGGAAGATGGAGACACAATTTGGGCGCAGGTGTTGCTAGAGAGAACAGGAGCCAGTGCCTTGCCAACGCTTTGATTATATCTGAAGCCATACGAGAGAGTAAAGAACTCTTTCCCAAGAGACTTGTCGAGTATGGATACTTTCATATGAATCGATTCAATAAACTGAGATTGGAAGCCACGGATTCTAGGAAACAAGTCGAATTTGCTGAACCACCTGATGATCCGATAGACGTGAGAATCGGAGAGATGTGGGATCGACTGATTGCCAATGGAAAATCAATTGACCTGAATAGTCCTTGGCAGTTTGGATTTATTACACAACTGAAATTCGATCAAACTTCGCTGGGAAGTCTTGCAAGGATGATTGAGGAATTTTTCGTCATTGCCAGAAACTTCCAGAACCTTATGGGCCTAGAAGAGGCACCCGCGCCAGAGCTGACGGTCACTGAGCTATCATCTAGAGTCATTGAGCAATTCTCGCAGATTTGCCAATTATGGGAGATGTATCTGAAGCTGTTGGTGATTGAGCCTCAGCCACGTGGAAGGTTTGGAGTTCAGCAGCGGGATGATTTGAGAGGTCGAGTACATCGAATCCGGATAGAACTCTTCGAGAGGTGCCCCGCAGCGAGACCTGTAACAATCCAGGAGGTTCCGGTTCGTGAACTAGAGATACAACAACAAATGGAACGAGATAATCAAGCCATGAACGAAGTAAGGGAAATGATTGAGGAACTTTTTCGTCCGGATAATGGATATCCGAGCCGAAGAATGTCAGAACCATCGGGATCCGAACCAAATGGATCTGCTACCGGGTCGTTTGAACATTACCTATTAGAACCAACAGTACCCAGTTCTAATGTTTTTAACGCCGCGAACTCAACCAATGGAACACAAGGAAGTTCCGCTTCTCAGAGATCGGAAGACTTCGTCAATGAATCTAGACCTCCAGAATCTAGCGGATCTAGCTCATCAATAGAAGAATCTGGTGAAGATGAAAATCTCTTTGAACCATTTCAATTCATGGTACCTATTGGAATCAGGCCAACTCAAGAAAATGTGGATGAAGTGAGACGGCGAGTGAGAGAAGCACGAGAAGCGATACAACGCCAGCTGAATCAAGGTGTGTCATTTTTAAGACCTTACAAAAGGCTTTACAAAAGACAATAGACATTTTTGGATTGACTTGGAAATTCCAGAAAATACTAAACAGAATATGAGCTTCGTTCTTTTAGTTGACAACTTTATCCTAAAATCTTGTCCTAGAGAGATATACCACGTGGAACGACACCCACCTAGTGGGGACGAGTGCTAGAGTCTAGTCAGTAGCTGGGCTTTCAGATGGCATATCTCTCTGGTATAGAATTTTACAAAGAAGTTGCCAATTACAAAAATAAAGCACAAAAAGAGAGTGCCCCCTGACTTTCAACTTTGAGCCCATTTATCTCGGTTCCTGATAAAGATGTAAAAATTTGTCAACAGATAAATTGTTTATCATGATAGCAGCAACAATTTATTAGTTGACACATTTTTGATATCTTTATCAGGAACCTAGATAATTGAGCTCAAAGTTGAAAGTCAGGGGGCACTTCTATTACAGGTTTTACGGTATCTCGAAAACGCGGAAAGTCACAAAAAAGTTGAGTTCCATTTGTGTTTGATAAGCCCTAAAATTTCCAGACAAATCGAAAACACACTAAGCCCTTTTGTAGGTTCTTAAAGTTGACAAGTTTAAACGAACAATATTTTTTTTCAAATTTCAGTGGAAATCGGTCTATTTTGATTGTCTGAGAAAAACAGGCGTATCTCGTTAGGGCGCGTTTGCACAAAAAAGTTGTCAACTACAAAAATGGAGCTTTACTCTTGTTTAGTATACTCTTAAAATTTGGGAAAGATCGGAAGAATACTAGACACTTTTGTAGGCGTTTAAAGTTGACTTAAAATAACGCTAAAACCTTCAAACTTTTTCAGAAACTAGCGAAGACGAAACGAGCTCACCGTCAGAAACGGAATCTGAGGAATCTGACGATGACGATAGGCTAGACATTTTCAATCCAATGGAAATGGCTTTTCCAGAAGGTCCAACGCCTCCACGCATTCCGGCGAATGAAAGATCCAGAGGACGACCAGAAGGAAGCTTCCCACCACAAGCTCCACTCGAAACACAAGATCTAGAGGAAGTCCTCGGACCACACGACCCAAGAAGAATATATTTCATCCAGTTGGATCAGAACCGTTACCACCCACTGGCCGAAGCCATCACAGAACAGCATGAGTATCTGAGAGCGTTGAGATCACATAATGCGGATCCTGAGGATTTGGAGAGACGTCGACAAGCGTATATCACCTGGAGAAGAGCGCAAAGACAGAATGGAAGGACGGTGAGACGTCTGATGAATTACAGGTTTTTGAATCAAGACGAGCGTTTGATTCTTCAAGAGATGGATCGATTGATCCCTAATCTCCAAGAGACAGATGAGAGAATCAGAATGTGGCAAGACACTTTCGAACCACAACTGGTGAATCGGAGGAGGAATCGAATTGGAAGAGATATCGCGGAGATGGATGCGAATCAGCTGAACCGTCGTGTGGACTTTGAAGCGATCCAACGATCACCACCAGATCCGCTCGTTTTGATGGATATCGATTTTAAGCCACCTTTGAGAGTTCCACGTGTTTCTGGCGATTTGAGTGACGATGAAATGGATCAGGAGAAGCAGGAGTTGGAGCATCGGTTCTTGGCGTATGAAGCGGTTAGACGTTTGGAGGATCAGAGGTCGGAATCGGAAACGGTATCAGAATCGGAGGATTCGGACTCGAGTGGCCCAAGAGGATCGAGATTTTTTGGTGAGTGCTTGTGTTCTCAATGGAGAGCACTTGCTGACAAAACAAGACAATATTAGTACCATTCAAACCGTCTTAACTTACAGATTCTCACTATCTAATTGTCATTAAAAACGAAGCAAAACTAGCCAAGTTATTAGGGATTTTTTGAAAATTGTCCATAGAGCACACTTGCTGAAATTTTTCCAAAACAAGACATTATTTGTTTCGTTTAAACCAGCTTGACTCACAATTCTAATCATTTGATTTTCATTTTAAACGGAATAAAACTATCCTAGATACAAGCAATTTTGTAAAATTTCTCAACAGAGCGCACTTGCTGAAAGTTTTTTAAAACAAGCCATGATTAATATCATTCGAACAGGCTTAGTTTTTATTGAAAACGAAGCAATACTTGCCGAGTTACGAGTGATCTTGTAAATTTTAGCAATGGAGCGCACTTGCTAAAATCTCATATAACTCTCCTAGTTTTCCTGTAGTTCTCATAAAATTTCGATTTTTTGCATCAGCGCGCCAAGGCACTCCAAATGAGTATAAACAAGCCTAGTTTCCGGAACTTTTGACAAGTGCGCTCTATTGAGAATTTTCCCAAATACGTATATAACTCGGTCAGTTTTTGTCCAATTTTTGAAAAAATTAAATTTTTCGAATCAGCTCGTGAAGGCCTTTTGAATAAGCATAATCATGTCTGTTACGAGAACATTTTAGCAAGTGCGATCTACTGCGAATCCAAAAAGAGAAGCTGAATTCTCAATAAAGCGTACTTCCAGGTCCACGCATTCGATCGTCAACAAATAGGAGACAAGAACGTCGCCGTAAGTCGGCTGAGCAAAAGGTGAGCATGATGGCCTAGAAAAAGCTAGGTCATGAGTTTGAAATTTTAATATGTTTGTTTCAGAAGCGAGAGCGACATCTTCGCGAACGAAATTCCACCCTACTCGTTGCTCATAATAGTTACAGTAACCGGATTCGAAATCTACCAATTCCAGAATGTGTTCGACGATTTTTGGCAGATTTGACAGAGAAAATAGATTTTTGAATAATTTTTAATGTTTAATTTTCTTTTCCTAGCTTTCTAATTTCGGAATTTTTCCAAAAAATCCCGACCTAATTCTTTTGATTATCATAATTTTTGGTTAAAACTTCGCTGTAAATAAGTACGGATTTTTGAATTTTTTAAAAATTTAAAAATTAGAATTTTTAAAACAGATAAATTTTGAGAACAATAACAATTAAAGGAGCATGGGAGGACTAGTTTGGCAGGCGATATTGAAGAAATTTCAGGTGGAGCGGGCATCCTCCAACTCATTCATAGTAACATGGATGACGTTTTCCAGATGGTTCAACTTCCAATGTCCCATTGCTCATTCTATCCAGAAGCTCTGTTTTTGACATTTTCCAAACCCCAAAATCGAAAGAATGGGGTGTTATTGATACAGCCGCAACGACACCATCTGTGTCTCGAATGATGTAGATAATTGACTGGTGAATTGTTCAGAAATATACCAATGCAAGGATTTTCTGATAATTTTAAAAAAGTGTATTGGATCGTGGGATGTCTAAAAACGTATTTAGACTTTTTTCGATTTGTCTGAAAATTTCAGAGGATACAAAACAAAAAGAGAGCTTCATTCTTGTAGTTGACAACTTTTTTGTAAAAGTTCAGCCGAGAGAGATACGCCATGTGGAAATGTGGGTTCTTCTGGGCGCCGCCGCAACTAGTGCAAAGGCGCCCGCTCTACAAATGTGTTTCATAATTTCACAAATTTTTTGAAATTTTGCGACAAAATTCGGCAAAACTAGAGCTCTAATTTTGCAATTGACAATTTTTCTGTAAAGTTTAAAGGTGGGGGGACATGAAAAAAATAATGTTCTCGAAATTTCGTTTAAATATGCCCCTCGAGGAGTTGAACTTGTGAGGGCGATGATTGAGGGTGCGGCGCCGCTACCGACTGAGCCACGCGGGCACAGAGAAAGCGCTCGCCCGATTGCATACATAAAGGCGAGGACGACAGCTGTACGCAGAGTGACATTAAGCGTTGTACACCGCGACGGTAGAATGCATACTCTGGCCCCAAAAATCCTACGAAAAATCTCCTGTCGCCCCACCTTTAAGGCTTTTCTTTGAAAGAAAATTGCCAAAAAAAAGACAAAAAATTCATATACAGTGATATTTAAAGAGTGAAAGATAAAACAATAATGGTATCAAATCGAGAAATAGAGTATAAGTTTTAGTCGGCGGGATTGGAAGGGGTGCGATCGTTAGGAGCTGGAGAGAGTCGAGGGTTTCGGTCGATGCGGTCCGCCTCTTGCGCAATTCTGGCCGCCACCTGAACGTTCTTCTGTAAAACTGTGTCTCGAACCTCGTCCCGTGTACCTGAAAAATTTGAGACTTTAAAGGTGGTGTGCGGTGAAAAATTGTATTGCTTTATTTTGTGCAGAAATCCACGTAGATTCCCATAAAAATAAAGAAAAAATTCAAAAAAAAATTCCTTCATTGAGAAAAACGGCATCGAAAAGTCAAAGTGGGAACCGGTGGCCTAGCGGCCAGGTGTGAGTTTTCTAGGCCAACTTCCGGTAAAAGCGCGAAATTCGAATTTTTATTGATTCTCAGTGTTTTCTCAGATTTTTGTCAGGTTTTTTCATACACCTGGGAGGACATTAACAAAAACATTTTGAGATCTTTGAAAAACATCAGAGAAAATACTGAAAATCAAATAAAAATTCGAATTTCGCGCGCATTTACCGGCAGTTGGCCTAGAAAACTCACACCTGGCCGCTAGGCCACCGGTTCCCACATTGACTTTTCGATGCCATTTTTCTCAATGAAGGAATTTTTTTTTGAATTTTTTCTTTATTTTTAGGGGAATCTACATGGATTTCTGCACAAAACAAAGCAATAAATTTTTCACCGCACACCACCTTTAAAACTTTGAAATTAGTGATTCGTTTTTACGGAGACCCAGTTTCAAAAGAGAGCTAAAAATTTTGACGAAAAAATCTTACCAGGTGGCGCGTCGATGACACGTAGCACGTCGGCTAGAATCTCCCAGTAGCAGTGGGTGTCTCTTGCTCCTGATGAGCTCCATGCTCCGGTTGCACTTGATTTGGTGGGTCCATTTGGCGCTGAAAGATAAAGTTGTCAAAAAAACCGAAAAGCTACAAAAAGCAGCACAATTGCAGCATTAAAAATAGGAAAAAACAACACAAAATTCAAAAAAAAATCGAGAAAAAATCAATCGGAAAAATGCCAAAAAAAGGAAAATTTTGATCTACCTTTCGATCCGAAATAGTATGATCTTGGTCTATTTTCATTTCAAACGATTGCAAGTTTGAATTTTGATGTCGCACTAATTTTTTAAATGTTTTTGTTGATTGACAGTGAAAGTGCGCACTGAGAGACAGTCAAATCTTCTGAAATTTCAGGAAGTTTCAAATTCTGGGAAACTGGAATCCTCTGAACTGCTTTTGTAGTTTCGAAACTTTTTTCCGTACCATTTTATCTGAAAACCTGTAAACGGACCAACAATTCGGTTCATAATTGTTTTTTTCAGCTTCAATATCTTTGACGAACCAGCTTATATATAACTTTTACTTGAATTATTCCTGCCGGCACATTTGGGGGAGTGACTTCATTTTTTTTTCCGTGGAGCACACTTGCTGGCATTCTTTCCAAAACTAGCCAGGATTAGTATCGTTCGAACCGTCTCGACTTACGGATTCTAATCATCTGATTTTCATTGAGAACAGAGTAAAACCAACAGAGTTAGCAGCGATTTAGCTGAATTTCTCAATAGAGCGCACTTGCTGAAATTCTTCCAAACACGCCATGATTATTATCATCTGAACCGTCTCAATTCAAAGATTCTAACGAACTATTTTTCGTTTGAAACGGAACAAAACCAATCGAGTTACAACCGATTCTTTGGATTTTCTCCATGGAGCGCACTTGCTGAAATTCTTTCCAAAACTAGCCATGATTAATATCGTTCGAACTGGCTAGATTCATGGATTCTAACCATCTATCCGCCATTGGAATCGGAGCGAAAATAACAGAGATACAAGCGATTTAGCGGAATTTCTCAACAGAGCGCACTTGCTGAAATTCTTCCAAAACAAACCATGATTAGTATCATCTGAACCGTCTCGACTTACGGATTCTAATCATCTGATTTTCATTGAGATCGGAGCACCTCTAGCCAAGTTACAAGCGATTTTGTAGATTTTCTCACTAGAGCGCACTTGAAAATTCTTTCAAAACAAGCCATGATTAGTATCATCTGAACCGTCTCACTTCAAAAATTCTGACTATCTATTTTTCATTTGAAACGGAGCAGCACTAGTCGAGTTACAAGCGTTTTTTTGAAAAATGATCAATAGAGAGCGCTTGCTAAAATCCATAAGAGCAAGCCCAGTTTTTCTTCGATTTTTAGAATTAGCTCGTCGAGGCCCTTCAAATGAACATAATCATGCCTAGATTTGAAAACGTTTTGGCAAGTGCGCTCTATTGAGAGCTTTTACGAAACCACTCAAAACTTGGTCAGTTTTGATCCACCTTTTATAAAATAGCCCTAATTTTCTGAATCTTTTTTTTCAATTTTTTTCCGATCTAATTATTAATAATCATTTGTGTTGCTAAAATCAAATTTTCGCGGTGAATACAAAGAATTTTAAAATAGGGATTTTTTTTTGAATTTTGTAAATCAGAACTTTTAAAACAGATAAATTTTGAGAACATTAAAAATTAAAGGGACGGGGGACTAGTTTGGCAGGCGATATGAAAGTTTTAGGTAATTCAAAAAAAAAGAAAAATTAACATAATAAATTAGCTTTTCAAAAATGCTTTGAGGTAGAAAAAAAGAGGACAGAAATAGATTTTTGTGGTTTTAAAAAGTGAAATTTTCAGGGAAAATTTATTAGATTGTCGGGTCGATCGTTGGTCCACCGTAGGAGAGCTTCTCGCGGATGAATGTTCTGAAAATTGAAAATTCAGGGGAAAAAACGATTTTACTGGTTAATTATTATTGAAATTAGCCAAAAATAGGGGAGATTTTCATATTCTAAACTGTCGATTTCAATATCAAAAATTGGGATTTTAATGTTAAAGGTGGTGTGCGGTGAAAAATTTTATTGCTTTATTTTGTGCAGAAATCCATGTAGATTCCCCTAAAAATAAAGAAAAAATTCAAAAAAAAATTCCTTCATAGAGAAAAACGGCATTGAAAAGTCAAAGTGGGAACCGGTGGCCTAGCGGCCAGGTGTGAGTTTTCTAGGCCAACTGCCGGTAAAAGCGCGCGAAATTCGAATTTTTATTGATTCTCAGTGTTTTCTCAGATTTTGTCAG